AAAAACACAAATCAATACCCTAGAGACCAAAAATCAATACTTTTACACTCACAGGAAGCAGCTACCTGACTTACCAGTATTTGTTTCCTCCAGCAAACACTGGATGAGGGAGAGTCTGCAATCATTTAAGCATGATTTACACCTATTAAGAAAATTTGTTGTAATTTATGGTGATGGTAGGGAAATACTGTTTCTGGCGTTTTCTTAATTAATTTTTTTTCAATTCAGAATTTGCAGCGTTTTATTGACTGGGTTGTCTGAGCTTGAGTTACCATTGATACTTTACTCACCATTATTGGACTTTATTGATACCAGCATTCAGTGCTATAAAAATTGTGTTAAATGAAGCCTGCTCTTACTCTTATCATTATTTAAGTTTTCTACTTACTGAGAGGAAAATTTGTTGTTGCAATAGATGATGTGGTTCCTGCAGGCAGCAGATGCTTCACAGCAAAATTAAATGTATTGAAATAATACTTTGTCTCTACCTGTGAATTAGACATTTTGTGCCAATTATCTCAACAAAGGATGTTTGTCCTTCCCCACAGATGATGTTTTTATTTCTCAGTATGCTACTGGCCAGAAAGAAGCTCTGAGAGCAGTATTAATGCAAAAGTAAGTGTGAATTGTTGGTGTCTGAGCTGTTCTGTTTCTGTATAACTACACGAGTTTTTTGCCAAAATGCATAGCTGGTAAAGAGGAAATGTTATTTTTACAGTTCTCTGTCAGTGTTCTTTTTCTGTGTATGAAAGCGTTTTCAGTTGATTTTATTCCCTGGAATATCTTGTGTTAAGACTTCCAGGAGAAATGCTTATAAAGTGATATCAATGCTCTGTGTGGGAAATCATTTGCTTGGAGGAGATATGGAGAACATGCTGTTTACAGACACTTTTTAATTTTTACAGAACTCAGATTATTCCTGTTCATAAGGAAGTGAAGGTGCAGCTCTTGGGAAGTGCCCCCACAGAAAAAAGGGAAAGTGCTGGGGGTGACACCAGGTCAGCACCCAGGGAAGTTGACTCTGCAACAACCATTGCAGCAGCCACTGCTGCTGCCATTGCCACAGCAGCTCCACTTCTCAAGGTGAGTGGGTAGCTCGTGGGAGTAGGAGATCTTTGTCCTCTTAAAATAGTAAATGTTCCAAACAAGCCTGAAATTGTTGATAGTAGTTCCAGAGAGCCTGAATGTGTCTGCCCACTGCTTTGTGTATTTTGCATCTCACACTCACTGACCATTATACCAGAGGGAACTAATTTGGATTTAACTAAATGGGCAGAAGACAGAGAACATTTGATTTATCTATTAGAAATTTACAATATTGCTAAACCACCAAACTTTAAGGCTAAATAGAATTTTGTTTCTTTTGGGATGCAAATTATGTGAAGGATGTTTTATTCTTTTCATGCTCACACATCTGCAATAATGAGTCTTTTCCCCCTTCACTTTTTTTTTTTTTTTAAATTCTTTTCTTGCAGGTTCAAAATGATTTGGAAGCAAAAGTGAACTCAGTTTCAGAACTGCTTCAGAAACTGCAGGAGACAGACAGGCAGCTGCAGCGAGTGTCTGAGCAGCAAAAAATGATGAAGGCTCAGCATGAGGAGCCCCACTACCACCAGAGAGTCAAGGAGCTGGAAAAACAAATGAATGCTTTCATGGTGCAACGCATTCAGCACTTGGAAAAGCTACAGGAGCAACAAATGAATATTCAGGTATCTAAGTCATTAGTATTAGGGAAAATTCTTCACTGAAGGGTGGTTAGACATTGGAACATGCACAGGGCAGTGGTGGAGTCACCATCCCTGGAAGTGTTCAGAAAACATGGATGTGGCACTGGAGGACTTGGTTTGGTGGGGACCATGGTGGTGCTGGGAGAAGAGTTAGACTCAGTAATCTTAAAGGTCTTTTCCAACCTTAACAATTCTGTGATTCAATGACCAGAAATCCTCTGTAATTTTGTCTCCCAGTCCCAGCTGATCAGCTCTGCAGTGAACACCCGTGGCCTGCAGCAGGGTCCTGTGCCTGCCTCTGGGCCCCTGACAGGACACCTGGAGAAGCCAGAGCAGAGACCACTCGCTAACGAAACACCTTCATCTCCCAGGGGTTTATTCCCTACCACTGCTGCACCTGCCCAAGGTGGAGACAAATTCTTACTGTCTGATTTTCACTATTAGTTTTCCATTAATTTAGTGTCTGTTAATATTGGATTGTGCATCACATTAGTAAACATTTCTTCTATGTAATTTGTTTTATTGCCCAATGCGCTTTATAATTTTTGTGACATTCTGAAGATTTTCTAGTATCTTCCAGTTTAAACTGAATTGACACTTTTGATTTACTAAGTCTGCACCAGGAGGGGCCTGCACTTAAAATAATCTTATTGAGACATAATCTGTGTGGAAGCCAGTGATAAACTACAGTTGGGTTTTGGGGGTTTTTTTTAATCCCTTTATGATAGCAGTCAGAAGTATGAAATTTTCTTCTTATTTACTTAACTAGTGCAGCAATGTTTTGCATTTTTGTGAACAATTTATAGACCTGGCACTGTTTTTTTTCTAGATCTTTTTTCCCTAGAGTCTACAAGGGCAAGTTGTGATAGGACAAGGGGGAATGGCTTCAAACTGAAGGAATGCAGGCTTAGATTAGATGCTGGGAAAAAATTCTCGTGAGTGTGGGGAGGCCCCGGCAGAGGTTGTCCACAGAATCTGTGGCTGCCCCTGGATCCCTGGAAGTGTCCAAGGCCAGGTTGGATGGGACTTGGAGCAATCTGGGATAGTGGAAGGTGTCCCTGCTCATGGAAGGTGTCCATACCTATGGCAGGAGGTTGGAACTGGATGATCTTTAAAGTCCCTTCCAACCAAAACCATTCTGTGATTTTATGATATAATTTCCTTTGAAGAAAATTATTAACATTTAAATAACTTTATTTTTTTTAGTGTTCCCTGAAGCATATTCAAGCCATTTTCCAAGTCATGGGGTTCACACACAAAAATCTCCTCTAAAGACACCAGTTCCTCGAAGATATGCTCCAGAACCTGTACCCAAAAATGGGAAAATCTCAGAGAAAGAAAACTCTATAGTAGAAAAAGAAAATATTCCCAAACCTACAAGAGAAGGTACTGTCCTCCACTGGCCTACCTGGTATGGCCTGGTGGTTACTTTGTATATTCCTCACCTTTTCTGTTGGGTTGCTGGCACTTAAATGCACATATTCAGAATATTTGGAATGTACATTTGGGAAGGGTTAGTTTTGTGTATAAATCACTTACTCATAAGAAACTAAAGACTTAAAGACAGTCCTGATTTAATCTATAGAGTTTCAGCAGGACTGCTCACTGAAGTATTTTTTTAAAGTCAGGTTTCAGGAAGATTAGACAAAACAATGTAAAACTTGGGAGCTACTCAATAACTTTTTGATTATCATTGGTTAAAGTGAATTTTTATTTTATTTTTCATGGGTCCTTAAGGTCTCTGTGTTATTGTATTGAAAGCAGTAGATATAAAGCAAATGTAAAGTAATTTTCTTTTACTGCTTTTGATCAAGTTCTGCCTCTGTTACAAAGCTGTCAGGGATTCCTATTGTTTAGTGGGTCTAGAAATAAATTAAATAAGACAGAAGAAGCATTCTGTCCATAATGTCACAGATTTGTTCTCAGTGACTCAGCTCACTGCCATCCCAGTTCCATCTAGCTTTGCTAATTTAAAGCAATCTCAGTGTGGCAGTTTGGGTTCACCAATCTGAGTTTCCAGCCAATGCACCAATTATGTAGTGGGTCTAGCATTGGCCATGCCATGGAGACTCCTCCACAAGAAACAGTCTTCTCGTGGCTTCAGTGTCACTGCAAATCATCCACCCAGGAAAGGAAAATCTCTTTGCAGTATGAAAGTCCCTCCCCTGCCTCACAGCTTTCCCACAGCTGCTTTCATGGGCCATGACAACTTATTGGGTTACTGTTTTAAGATGAGCTGTTCTAGCATAAATCAAGAGTTGTCTTCATCTATCTCTGGGAACAGAGGTTTTCTACTACAATTCCTGGGGCAAGGTTTCTCATGTCTCTCTGTTTAAGTTTTTCATTGGATCATAGTAACATCTACTTGCTTTAGTATTGGTGTGACTCACAGTCATGTTAGAACACTGCATCCTCCCAATGCATTTCCATGAGTCAGGGAAAAGTAAGTAAGTCTGATATATCAATTTTATCTTCACCACAGCCTTACAAGAAGAATTTCAGCCTAAGATTAAGGCATCTCCTCAATCTCCTCTCATCTAGAATTTGACTCTTTCTTCACTGACTCAGTCCCATGTTGTTGTCTCTATGAGTCTTTACCCTTTCCTTTTCATTATTCAGGAGAGAATTGGTATTCGTAGGTTTGTTTGTTCTCAAGCTTTATCAATTGAAACAGTTTTTATAGATTTCTGCTGTGCTGAAAAGTTGTCCAGGCTCCACAATCGAGGAAATGCTGTGACCCTCACTGCTGACACCACAGTCCCCACCAGCACTGTGTGAGTCACTCTGGGACTCGCCCTGTGCCTTTCCTTCATGTGGGGCACCAGGAAAAGAAACAAAACTGCTGCTCTGCTTTTGTCCTTCTGTCTGCAGCATGGCTGGCTAAAAGCAGCTAAGCAAACAAAGTCCATCGCGAGTCATGCCGAGATAGCCGAGACCATGCACTCCTGGCCATGTGGCTGCTCCCAGACCAGGTTGGTGGTGGCCACTGTGGGCCCCAGCCACCCCTGGCCTCACTCCCAGAATAAAACAATTCCATTTGTGAGCCATGCCAAGGTAGCCCCGGCCATGCTGACTCTGGCCAAGCAGTCCTGGTGACATGGCCTGGTGGTGACAGAAATCCCAGCTGAGCCACACACCCACCCAGCTGTGTGAGCCCGACCTGACCCAGCCCATTACCTCTTCAGAGCCGGAAACCAAGAGAGCTTTCCAAGGCTGTGCTTGTTTTTAAATGTGCTTTTCCACAGGGGCGTGCTCAGCTCTTTTAAGTGGTTTAATCAGCTGTCAATCTTCAAACCTAGCCAGCTGATTGGCTCTTCAAACATAGTCAGCTGATTGGTTCTTCAAATCTAGCCAGTTGATTGGCTCTTCGAACCGAACCAGCTGATTGGTTCTTCAAATCCAGCCAGTTGATTGGTTCTTCAAATCAGCCAACTGATTGTTTCTTCAAACATAGTCAGTTGATTGGTTCTTCAAATCTAGCCAGTTGATTGGTTCTTCGAACCTAGCCAGCTGATTGGCTCTTCAAACCTAGCCAGCTGATTGGTTCTTCAAATCCAGCTAGTTGATTGGTTCTTCAAATCTAGCCAGCAGATTGGCTCTTCGAACCTAGCCGGTTGATTAATTCTTCAAAACTAGTCGGTTGATTGGTTCTTCAAATCTAGCCAGCTGATTGGTTCTTCAAACTTAGGCAGCTGATTGGCTCCAGCAGGTCCCCAGAGGGAGCCACCCCCAACTGAAAACAGGACTCTGTTAGACCATGGCACTCAGAAAGATCGGTTAGTGGTTTTAAGTGACTTGCCTTATCTGACATAGATCTATATTTTTAATTCAAAGCTTTTTTTTTTTTCTCCTTGGTGAGTGTTATATAATGGTGAAATATCTGGAAAGGAGAAGAAAGTATTAAATACATTGAATTAACCTAAGTTTCCTTTTCTCTGCTTAATTTTAGGTGAAGGGAAAGGTCTGGAACACGTTTTGAATTCTCAAGAAATACCACTGAAGCAAATGGAATATTCCAAGAAGACAACATTAAGCAGCAATGAAAGGGGCTGGCCTTCTGAGAGATACAGGTGGATAAACACAACAATCCGAAACTGAGGAAGAGTTTCTCTCTGTTTCCATGAAATTGAGAGAGGTGCATTAGACACTAATGGTGTAACAGTCACTGGTGTGGTCCTTGAGTCTGGCACAGCTGTGCTGGAGTATTTCTATTTTTGCATTACTTTTGGCAGGACCTGATGGAATGGCTGGAGCTGTGCCAGGGGAGGTTTAGGCTGGATATCAGGAAGGGTTCTTCATCCTGAGGGTGCTGGGCACTGCCCAGGCTCCCCAGGGAATGGGCACAGCCCCAAAGCTGCCACAGCTCCAGGAGTGTTTGGACAGCACTGCCAGGGATGCCCAGGCTGGGATTGTTGGGGTGTCTGTGCAGGGCCAGGAGTTGAACTCTGATCCTTATGGGTCCCTTCCAGCTCTTATATTCCACGATTCTGTGGTTTCTGTTGAACTGCAGGCAGATGAAGGCTTGTTGCTAAGGACAGCTCACAACACCTTTCTCAGAGGTCAGCGGGTTGCACTTGGAGTGTTTTTCAGGAGCAGCATCCACCTAACAATTCCTAAGCTTTAAAATGGCTGAAAAAATGTTCTTAGCTATGTAGTCTGAAGCACATAATCCCCAGGCAATAATGTAAAGTTACAATTTCACTAATACAGTGAGAAACTGATTATATGTGCTGTCTAATTTAGAACAGTGTGTGTAAAAATGTTAATTGCTTCAAATGGAAAGATATCCAAAGTTTAAATGTTGCTCTATTAGATGTAATTTCACTATTAAAGATTAAAGAATACGAGTGAAGGTGTTAAGTGGTAAACAGAGAAAACCCAATAACCTCTATAACTTCAGATGCCAAAGCAAGTTCCAGTTTATCTGAAGGTTTGGTACTTGCAGTGTAAATTCCTGCTTGGTTTCACAGTTGAATCCTTTCTTGGGCCACCTCAGGAGCCATGAGAGGTAACCAGGAGTGTTTCTCCCCTCAGACACAATGCTTTGCCTGCAGACTTAATTCCTTCCTTTGTAAGCTACAATTCAATTGAGAAAACAGTGCAGAAAGCAGATGATTTACTTCAAGATCTTGGCAAGTTGAGAAGAGAAATGCACAACATTCTACAGGTAAAGTCAATCTAATCACAATGAGCAGGGGTTTGAAGAAAGGGAATAAAAATTGTGGAGAAAAACACAGAAGTGTGGTATCAGAAAAAGTGTTGCTCTTGCTTCTACACCTGTAAGAAGATCTACATTTTTTCAATTAATTGAAATACTGGAGTCTCTGTGTGTGGAAGAGCTTTGAGCCTGAATAATGCTCTGGGTGTGCAATGGGCTCTGACTGCCATTGTCCCAGACATAAAATAGAGAGAAAGAGGGAAGGACAGAAAGAGAAAAGAGAAGTTTATTTGTTTGTTTTAAGGTTTTGGATATTTTCAGTGCCTGTTCTCTGCAGAACTACAGAGCTGATGTAATTTTTCCATTGGAAAGAACAATGCTCCATTTATCTCCAGTCAGCTTTAGGGATGATTTAAGCATTTCCTTTCTCATTTTGCCACTTCTTTTTGTATTGAGTGCTGTTTCCAAGGAATTGCCTGGCACAGAATCTTTGTGCTGTTTCTTGTGCTAATGATTTTGTACCTTTGGGGATGCAAGATTTGCTTCTGTGCTGGCAACATGGAGCTGTTGGCAACTGAGGCTTTTATCTCTTAACCTGGTGCCATTCCTGGTTCCACCTGTCTGCTATGGTCCTCTCTGTCCTTGTCAATGTACACAGTGAGAAAGAAGAAAAGTTTGAAAATTCACCTCTGTGAATTGGCTTGAAATGTAATAACTTTGATTCTGCTGGTTCATTTCTGTGGTTGAAAATTTCAACTTGCATATTTCCCTAAAAAATATTTTGTATCACCTGTCTGGTATTTGTTGCTGTATCTTTAGAAAATGCAGCTTCATCTGTCATATCTTCTGTGATAGCTGATGCATTTTTAATAGATTTTGTAACACTTTGTGGATTTTACATTTAACTGTTCTTACTAGGAATGGAACAGATGCCTTGTTCCCCACTGAGGTTGCAAATATTTTCTTATCACTATTGCTAAAAACTTAAACAAGTAGCATACCTTAGTACAGGCAACAGAACAAGATGAGATGGGATAAGGAATGGGAGCAAGATAAAGTTACAGAAATGATTTGAGATCTCTCTTATGAAAAAGGTCAATAGAAAGACAGAGGTGATGACTTAGCAAATGGAGATTTGGGTTAATTAAACACTTAGCTACTGACTCCTCATCACTGAGAGGTTTGTAGAGTGAGATAATGATAAATTTTTGGGTAAATGATAAACCAGCTCTGTCACAAAGCAAAGCTCTGAATCAGCTGAGGACAGAAGGTGGTGCTCTAACCCAAGGAATTCATTTTGGCCACTGAAACTGATCCAGTATCTCCTATGGAGTTTACCTTGAAGTTTCAACAGCTTTTCTTCTGTCTTTTTAGGAAGCAAGTTCATGGAAATCTGACATGAATGATCTTATTAAGGTACGCCTTGAAATTTTTATGTGTGTTTCTTTTGTGGGTTTTTGGGCTTTCTATAAAATACTCTAATGCTGAAGCAGTTTTGAATGTGTTTGCAATGAAATACCACGGCCAGCCTATTACACACCTGGATCTTTGTTAGATTGCTCTTGTACAGATCACATTACACCTGTTCACTCCTAGTAAATCCCTTGAGGGGATAATGTCAGGCAGGGAGCTGCTGTGTCAGATTGACACAGTGTGGGCTGTTGCTACCAGCATTTTTAACAGATTTAACAGATCCAGTTACCATTTCATGATCTGGGTCTCACTAGCAAGTCTACATCAATTTACACTTGCTCATGTATCTGTATTTCTTACCTTTTCTCTATAAAATATATAAAAATAATTTGGTGTATTGTCTCTTTCTCACCAGGCCAACACAAAGGTCATGGGATCAGTGTCATGATTTCTGTTTTGTTGTGGCATTGTGGCAGTACATCTGTTCAAACATAAACTTTTGTTTAATTCTGATTTGACAAAAGAGTAGCATTAAAGCCAAAACTGGATTGTGATCTGTGAGATTTTTTTTTTCCTGGTCATTCAGTTAATGTTTTCACAGTCTGCTTGAGTCTGGATATTTTGGTTTTGGCTTGAAGTCTTGGGGTTTTTTTTAGTGTACATTTATCACTTCTAATTTTTTTTACTGTTTAATGAAGTTTTCAGGAGCCTGTGGGTTTTTCCTCAGGAGTGTGAGAATGAATGTGATAATTTTTTTCCTGTGTTTGTGTCCCTTTCTTTTGTACTTAGCAGCTAATTTATACTCGATTTTTATCTCTGTAAAAGGGTTCTGCAAAGTGAGAGGTTCATTGTTCCTTCTGAAAAGTGNAGGATCAAGGAGCTGCTGAGGGATTTATCTTGTTAAAACTTACAAGTGTTTCTTGGTGTTTCTTGGGGTAGATGGTGCCAAACAAGTGCATATATTTAGAGGACTTGGGCTTTTATTAGGCTTTTAATTATATTTAATTAGTGTTACATGGAGAGATTTGCTTGTGATACTTCATGTATCTAATTGCCATCTTTTCACATGCTTATTAGCCTCATTAGCATTGCCTCTGATACTTCACATCATTTTCCGTTTGAGATCTTTTGGATGTCTTTCACTTCTCTAAATATATTTGCAACATAATGAACGTTCTTGAGTAATTGAAGTTACTGATAGTGCACATGGGCAGTATTTCATGTGATGCCATTGATGTGATAACAGATTAATAGGAAATTACAATCTCTGATTAAAAGCTAAAGGTTCTGTTTCAATTTTAGTTAAAATTTCCTCCTGTTTCACCCGATCCTCCCGAACATCATCTGCTCAACAAACCATCCATCCTTCAAACTGTCAAACCACCAAGGTCTATACTGACAGATGCTGAAAGGGCTTTGAGAGGAGTGCAGAACAATAAAAGAGTCCTCGAGGAGAATCTGGAAGCTGTTACTCGTGCAAAAGATGGAGATGCCCTGTATTCCCTCAGTGACTCCTTGACTACAAACAGGTCAGACCCTACAATTCAGTGCTTTGTGAGATTGGTGTTTCCAAATCTGGGCATTGAAGAATTTGTGCTCTTCCCTGCAAAAAGGATTTACTGACTCTTTCTAGGAATCATTGCCTGATTCTTGAAATTCGGATGTTTTTTGACCTTTGTGGTGTGAACTGATTTTTGTCAAGTGCCTAAATCTGATTTGTGAGGCTTTATCAGCTGGACAAAGTGCTCTGCTACCAGGGCATTTAGCTGTTTCCATACCAACTTGCAATAATAAGAAAATTGAAGCCTACTTTAATTATTTAGAACAGAAGAGGCTTCATAAGCCTGTAAATTTACAGAATTTAATCACTTCACTACAGATCTTTGGCTTTTGAACTTTTGCTTTGTTAGTTGTGTTAAATACTCCTGCTTGAATCATAATGGAAATTTTCTATTAAAATACAATCTAAACTTTTTTTTTTCCTGAGGAAGGTAGCTATTCTGTATGTATAAGGGTTTTTTTTTAGGCATGTTACCTGCCCTCATTATCTTTTAGAAGATGTAGTAATTTGTCATCTGCTTTTTTGTTAAATTGGAATATTTATGTTTTCTTGATTTTTTTCAGTTGTGATAAAAGTAGGAGGTGACACAAGGCTGCCTCTATTCCTAAAATATTTGTAATAATATCAGTATTTACCAGCAGGGAGTGAGGTTTGCAGTTGGCACCATGCAAGAACAGATTTGGGGCTGGATGGGCTTTGCTTTGGGTGCCTTTTGGGGAGTGTAGAGGTGCAAAATCTCACTGGGCTTCTCTTTTTGGAGCATTTAAAGGTTACAACTTTGCCAGGAACAAATCTGTGCAATTTGAGAAGCACTGCCCTCAAATGGTTCTTTTTTCTGTTTCAGAGATGCCTTGGATGAGATTCGTATCCGAAGGACTGTGGATGAGTGGATCAAGGCAATCAATGAGGAGCTCCAGGTAGGGCTGGAAAAATGAGTTTGGATTTTTGTGTTATGTTTTTCCACCTTGCCTTGTTCTTTCATGTTCACAGTAAAGTGATTTACTCACCCCTTGAAAACATGAGGAAGTTGCCTGTTATTGCTAGCATGCAGTAAGCTATAATAAAATATTTACCTGTTTTAAAACTGCAGTTGTGTAATGAAAATCCCTGGTTTCAGTTGCTGGCTAACATGAAAAACAGGCCCTTTCTCAGAACTTCAGAGTTATTCACACACTCTGCTGATAGCCTTGAAGATAAAAATTTCCATTTATTACATTTATGTTTTCTGTTTAGGCTGAAATGACAAGGAAGGATCCAGAACAAGAGAAATATGATGAAAAAGCCCCATGGAACAAGAGAGCCCAAAACCTCAGGGCTATGAAGACCAAGAAAGAAATTAAAGAGAGAACTCAAAACGACCAAGGTTGCCTGACAAAAAGACCTTTATCTGCAACAAAGCCATTGCAGAAGCAGGTGGAAGATAACACAAGGAAAGAGAAGTTTAGAACTTATGTTTCTGAAAATTTGGAGAGCAAAGAAAGAAGAGCAGATGTGAGTTCTTGAGCAGTTGGTTTCTTTTCAGGAAAAAACTGTTCAGTATTGGTATGAAAATTTGTGTGTGCAGGTGTGCCAATTTGAAATGAAAGTGATAGCTCTGTTCTGCTCCGATTTACATAAATGGAGAATTGTAAACTACTTTTTTTTTTCCTTTTTGGTGTCCACCAGGGAGCTGTAGGTGGAACTGCACTGGTCCAAAATGAAGATTATCTGTCTCAAGTTTATGGGAAACCCATTTACCAGGGCCACCGTAGCACACTTAAAAAAGGACCTTACCTGAGATTCAACTCTCCCTCTCCCAGATCTAAACTTCCCAGACCCAAGCTGATAGAGACTGTTAGAGGTGAGTGATTCTTTGATGGGAACAAAGAGCTCCTTCCCAGGTTTTCTACCAGGAATTCCTTGTGTTAATGAATCTGTTAATTGTAGTTCATCTGCTCTTCAATATAAAGCCTAAGCAGCTGCAGTGGCTTTTCAGGCAGGTGGTCACTGCCTCAGGTATGTCAGGGTTTAAGAGGCATTTGGAAAATTCCCTTAATTTAACTTTTGGTCAGTCCTGAAGTGGTCAGGCAGTTGGTTGTTCTAAGTCCTGTCCATTTGAAATATTTTATTTCTATTTAAGATCTTCTTTTCAAAATTAAAAAATACTAGAAGTTTTTCAACTTTGCTTAATGTGTCTTTCACTTATTTTAGATTAAATAAATACTTATTTCTAAATATGATAAATGTATTAGGCTGTATTTATTGTTGTCCAAGATTTAATGAGCTGAATTGCTAAAACTAATTACCACTGAGTGTGTTGAAAAATGAACTCAGTTTTTGATAAAGGTCACTGGGGGATGTATTTTTTGTGTCAGGTCTATCCAGTGATTGTTCATTTAAATATTTAATTCATCCAGAGTTCAGAAATGTACTGAGACTTGAAAACTGAAGAAAGTCTGATATTTAATTTCCTGTTTCTGATGCATCAATTGAAATATGAAAAATTGAAGTTTTTTATGAAAAAAAATTTAAATCCTCATCCTCAGCATGAGGATGGCATCTGTTAGCTTGAAAATATTGAAAGATGTAATCAGAATAACTGGCTAAGTTCACTAAGTGCAAGTAACTCCTTTTCCTTCATCCATTTAGTTATAAGCAGAATAGAAAGTCTTTCTGTGATAGCTTGTTAAGATTATTTAATTGATAAAGGTTGTTAGTTGATTAATAATGAATTCTGTTCATTAGTTTTGTTGGCAAAGTGTTGAGATAACAGGGTGCTAATTTTCTAACTTATTAAAAAAATGTAAAAATTATTACAGAGGGAGACTATATGATATCTGACACTGGTCAGTGTAGATAAACTTCCTCTAGAGTTAGTAGACAGTAATGTTTTAATTGCATCTGTTTTATTTCCTAGTTACCTTATCAAAACTTACCTGATTCTTAATACAAAAATTTAGAATAATCTTTGACAGGTATTAAAAAAAAAAAGGCAGTGTGAATCATTTTGCTGGGGAGAAAGTGAGCAAAAAAGAAAATGATAAAGGGCAAGTGTGGAGATGGGAGAGAGGCTTAAGAGGAAGAGGTGGTTAAAGTGAAGGTGGGCACAATGGAGTTAATCCATGGAAAAATATTAACTGGCTCCCTCCATGCTTCTTGCACTTAGGCTGTTGTTATCCATGCAGGGAAAATATACTTGATGCAGTCTTAAATGCCATGTTTAAAAATGCTGCCTGGGTTTTTATTACAGCTGTCAAAACATTATATTCTGTGTGAAATACGACAGATTAGCATCAGAAAGCAGCCAGTCACTTGATGAAATCTTGTTTTTAGGCCATTGCAAAGGATGGTGTAAAACATATCTATGTCTCTGAAGACAGGCAGTACTGGTGTTTGAGGCTGGGGATTTTTTTATATTATTATTATTATTGTTGTTATTTCAATATTATTGAGTAACCTGATCTAGTGGAAGATGTCTTTGCCCATGGCAGGAGGTTGGAACTGGTTGATCCTGAAGATTCCTTCCAAACCCTTGTGTGATTCTGTGCATCCACACTGGCAAGTCCTCAAAGTACAAGAATCTCTTTTTGGCCTGCCATGGTCTTTATGGCACTTTCCTTATCTGTGCTCTGGAGCCAGTTGTGATCTGTGAAGTGTTACTGCTAGAAAGTATTCACAATTCTCACCACCCTCCTGGAAAATGTGGGTTATAGTCCTGGCAGAAACCTAGAAAACTTTTCAAAACTCACCATTTTTTAAAAGGTGAAGCCTTGTTACATGAAAACTGCCACATTGTGACTTAGGTATTTTGTTTGCCCTCTGTTTAATGTCTTTTCTTTGGTGAAAAATGGTGTATCCTCTGGTATACTCATTTGAAACATGATACATCACTGTTTTTTACTCTTGGCTGTGCTGTACACCTATAATTTAATTTATTCTGTATAGATCTTTTTGGATGAAATGTGTGCTAGTAAGCACTTAGGGTAGTAATAACTGATACAGTAACCACTAAGATTTGGATTGAGAACAGGCACTTCTTTAAAAATATTTAATCAGCAGTTCTGCTTTTGCTGAGTCCTAAATGAATTTTCTTCTCTATTTATTGGGCTCTTGTCCTTTACCAGAAGGTTATAACCTTTCCAGAGAGGCCAATTTCATCATTCCAGAAGCAATGTCCTGTAAAGTGGCAGAAAGAGTGTCCCCCTCCCCAGTCTAATAATAACAAATAGGTCATTTGATCATTTGAAATCACCACTTGAATTCAGTGGTGTCAGTGGAATGGAAAGGTGCAACAAGCTGCTCCTGTTCTTCAGCTTTTTTTTTCTGTTGGAGGCAAATAGAAATGAAAGGGAAAACTGCACTGGATCAGTGCTGCCTTCAATCTTCCAGAACTCCTGCGTGTGACCAACAGCTTAAAAGCTCTTTGCTGGAAAACAGAGTGAACTCTGGATAGCCTTTTGCCAGAGTGCTTCCCTTCCAAGCCATTAAGTCATGCTGCAGAGCAAAACGTGTGTTTGCAGCAGTAAAACCACCATAAAATTAGTTTCTCTATTTAACATCAGGCTGGAGTTATGGAAGTTATGGTTTTGTCTCTATCCTGACAGTAAATAAAATTTAAAAATACACCCCCTGTGTTCTTATCTAAGGGGAGAATGGAATTTTTTGCATGTTGTGTAAAGGAGCAGCATTCCAATGAGTGTGTCCTATTCCCAAGCTTTCTGATTTTAATTGAGGCTGAGGTTTGTTTAATACTGCCATTATTTATCTTTGCCTCTTGGTAAGACTGTTGGCCAAACTGCTTCATTTTTGTCCTTTCCTAAAATTTGCCAATAAAATGGAAAAATAATCCGTGGTGTTCCACGAGGGTCTCATGAAGACAAAACAGTTCAATCATTTTGGGGGCTGCTGTTCTGGAAGAAGCTGTTATGGCAAAGTATAAATAATAAAATTAGGAATAGATCTGTGCTCCTCTATAGTAGGAGTGTAAATAAAATGCACCAAGGTCCAAAGAGCACTTCAAAGCACCAGGTTCTTTAAAAAAAAAAAAGAGAAGTAAATAAACAAATCTCTTTCACATTAGGCATGGTGAGTTCTTCCCTTCACAGATCTGCACCCACAGATTCCCTTCCTGGCCTTGATGTACCAGGTAATAAAGGCTGCAAAATTATTGGAAGTCTTTGGCCATGGGTTTGATTGGCTGAAAAGTCCAGACTTGTTAAATGAGTATTTTGTTAGAGCAGTCCACTGAGCTTGTTTTAAATTAGTGTTAGAATAAGGATGTTTACTTAAGAATGAAATGGCCATCTGGAGAGTGTCTTTTCAGTCATTTTATAACTCTCAACCATTTTCTTTACAAATAAACTCTGGTGACTAATGCTTAGTTTCTTATGGGAAGTTAGGAAAAAAATTCAACTAACACTTTAATGAGTAAGAGATCATTTCTAAAAAAAAAAAGCTGAAGTTGTTTTCTTGCATAATGTGAACTGATAAATACATGTAAAACATTTTTTTTTTAAAGCTAAGTTTAATTAAATGTCTAGTTTCTGCCCAGTGCAAATAAACTTTTCAGGGAAAAATGAAAAGTTGAAAGCAATTAAAATGAGGTGCTGTGTGTATACAGTACTTAATCATTCTCCCTGTGAAAACCTTGTTTTTACAAGTTGGCAGCATTACAGATACGCTGCCAATTTCTGCTTTTACTCAAAAGTTCAAGGCCAAGGGGGGCTGTTAGATCATGTAGTATGACCTCTTCTAAATCACAAGCCTCTGAACTGTATCTATTTATGTTACAGAGTCCAGTAATTTGTCTGACTGCAGAACAGTTTTTTTGCCTAACCTGTGCTTTGCCAAAAGGCACAAACTCATCATGTGAAGACAGCAGAAATTCTGCTTCTTCCCGTGGCAAAACACTTGGTGCTTCAAAAGCAAATAGGACACTTCAGATTTATTATCTGATTTGTAGTGAGGTTTTGGCTACTTCAGTTTCCAGGTGATTTTTCCTTAAAGAATGAAGAGTGCCTATTAATGTCCAATCTATTTTAGTATCTGCAGAGATACAGGAATGCAGTGTTATCATCTATGGGAGTCTTCTCCTGCTCCATCTCAGACATTCTGTTGAGACATCTGAGGGTTACATTTATCCTGTTGACCAGGGCATTGTGTTGTGATTTCTCATTCCATTGCTTACCCAACATGACCATAAACTCTTTTCTAGAGATGCTTCTCTCTGACCTGTATTTTCTCACTGAGGAGTTATGACTTGTTCTTGTTTCCAGGCTTATAACCCATAATTTGTCTGTACAGAAATACCACTTTCTAAGTGAACTGCCTTGCCTGCTTGTCTGCATCTAACAAAAGTCACATTATCAATCTTTATTATCCCTGTATTTTATAATCATTGACTTTCATTCTTAAATTAATTAGGAGGCTGTTAAATGTGAACAGAGCTAAAAAGTGCTTGTTGCCATGTGTTAACTGGATGCAAGTAAAGGGAGGTGATTATTAGATACAACAGAGGAGTAAAATGACATTTTTTTGGCTGTAATAAAGGTGTGGAGTTGGTTACCAGCATGTTTCTTTCCAGATTCATTATCCTAACACCTACAAAGTAACAGTAGAAGCACTTCTGCCTGATTGACAACTGTTGACCTTTTTGGGGGGAATTTTTAAGCAGTATTTATCAATTTGTATTAATAATTTCCTTAATAATATTAATTGTTTGTTGTAAGTTGAGTAAGACCTTGCATGACTGTATGGAGAGAAATGCACATTGCAATAAATGCTCTGCTCTTTGCTTAAGACATTTTTACATATAAATTACTTCTGTCTGGCCATTTGCAATATGCTTGAAAATCTGGGCCAAAAAATCATCATTTCCTTGATGATGAAAGTAAAGACTTTTGGATATTAGCTATGGCTTGATTTTGCAGTAGCACTGAGTTGTTAAACCAGGAATTTACAGATTATACCTGTTCCTCTGAGTACCTGTCAGTTTTGTGGCTGCCTTTCAAATCTAAATTCTGGATTTCTTCTTAGCTGCTAAATCACATGTTCAGTTCCAAATTTCAAATTATGAATTTCTTCTTAGCTGCTAAACCACACATTTTGTTCCAACTTACTGCTGTGCTTTAGTCTTTTACATGTTTCTGTGCCCTTATCTGCTAGATTCAACTGAAAAAAAAAATTGCAATTTTAACTCCTTCATTGCTGCCAATACTGAGACATGCTATCTATCATCTACCTGTAGCACTTTCAGATTCTGCCCTTTGGGACTCCCTCCCTCATTGCTTTCATCCCCACAGCAAAAATTTGCAGTGGACTCAGTGGAAGGCTTGGATCAGTAGACTGTGGGTCACTGGCTTTGTGCATGTAGTCCATCTGCTCTTGTTTCAGGCACAAAGGTGAAGTCAGCAAGGACCCAGACCTGCTCTCACACACAGGAAGTCATCAGCAGCCCCATGAAGAAGCATCCTGTGTATGCCCTTGCCCAGCAGAACCAGTACCTCTTCAGCCCCAGCCAAGATGTCCCTGCTGCCTCTGGTCCTCTGGAAGGCCACCTCATTCCCATGGCTATCCCACTAGGTAGGAACAAATCACCTGAAGAAGACTGTGTGCAGGTTAATTGCTGCTCTTTCATGGAAATACAACTTTTGTCTATTTAAGTCAATAGGTTGGGGTTGGAATTAGATCATCTCTAAGGTTCCTTCCAGCCCAAACCATTCCATGATATTTGCACCTGCCCTTCTCGTAGGAAATCTGAGGGATCAGTTGAAAATGTTCTGGCTTTCCTCATCCTTCATGCTGGATGTCTGGTGACACCCTGACAGAGCAATTACTTGTTTTGCCTTTTTTGGTTCATTTTGGTTTCAGGCTTCATCTTCTTGCTTTCAGTTTAGTATCCACCTAAGCAGGAACTGAATCACTCACCCTTGGATTCAACATTTGCAATGACTTCAGCCCAGCAATTTCAGTAGGACTGTGCCAAGCACAGTAAATTCCTTGTCATGACTTCTGGATTTTTGGACTTTCAATAGAACCTTTATATAGGGCTTGTTTTGAGAAGGGTTAGTATTATATAGGCATTGAAATAAGGTAATTATTTTTTCAAAAGGCTGTCTCAGAAAAAAATTTGTGGGTTGTTATGCTAACACCAATAATAGTTATAGTAATAGTACTTTGGGTGTGATGGTCTGTAGTTTTTGAATGGCAAACACAATTCTTGTTTTCAGCAGTAGATGTCACCAGAGTCAAGGAAAGTGAATAATTTGAAAAAAGTGATAGTGTTGAGTTGACAATTTCTGCTGGGAAAGCTTAAAATTAGCTGGTGAATTACTGTAGTTTAACTAATGTTAATAGGGGGCTTTTTAATTGGTCTGTAATTGCACGCAAAATCTCGAAACACACAGAATAGAATTTAAATTAATTTATTAATTTACTGGCTTTGGAGATGGATGTATGAATTTTCAATTGTTTTTCAATTGTCTTTAGGTAAAACCCAAAGCAGCAGCACATTACTGCAGCCTGCTGGAGTAACCTTAGATGAACAACACCCTGTCACAGTTACAACCTCCCTTCCTCAAGTGCCACCAAAGCCTCCAGTGGAGGTAAAAAAGCCAAATATAGCTGTAATAGAGATGAAATCAGAGAAAAAGGACCCACCTCAGCTCTCTGTGCAGGTACATGTCAAGAGTGATGATGATGATTTGTTTGTTTAATGAGTGCTAACTACAGGCAGCCTGATCAGTTACACACTTTGACATCAGTAGATGATTTTCAATAAGAATTAGAAAAATATGGAATGGAGGAAGCAAGCAGTTCTTATGCTATAGTAATATATTTATTCATATTTTAACAATTATCTTTATTACTTGATCAAAATAGAAAACTATTTCTTCCCCAGGTCACCTATGCAGGGCATTTGTAAAATCCATGTCACATTTTCTTTTTTTTTTTTTTAAATGAGATTTTTGAGCCAGAACAAACTTGGAATAAAAGAAGTAGAAATATAAATGTCAGTTTTCTTGGATGATTGCTTTGGCCTTTAAGATTTCTGTTTCAAGCATGATTGTCAACCCAAGGGTTTCACTCCTGATTAATCAACCCTCGCAGTCCTTACCTTGTGGGTTGAGGTTTGTTGTTTTAATTTTTTCACGTGAGTCTGTTGTCAAGGAAGCGAATGTTTCTTACATGTTCATTGTTTTGGATTCCAGTTGTTGAGACTGCACACACTCCCCCACACACCTTTCAGACACAAATGATTCATGGAGCTCAGAGTTAAACACAGGTAGAGTGTTCTGTGCTTTGTTCCCTTGATGTGTCACTTTATTCCACCCACCTGCATTTTGCTGTTATTCCACCCAGTTCTTAAATATTTAAGGTGATTTTTCTTTTTCCAAAGGAATGAAGCATCGAAATCTTTGTTCTTAACTGAAATACAACACATTTTAATGTTGTAATGGACATGCCTTGATTACAAACTATATTGTAATCTTCTAAACTAATTGCAGGTCAAACACACCTCTGCTCTAACTGTTAGAAGTAATTATTACAGATGCACTCAGCTTTTGTTCCATGCAAAACAAAGTGTCAGGGAATTAGAGAACAGGAGAAATCAGGTACTGCAAGAGAAGAGGTGACTATTTCTAGATAGAGGTGTTAGTTTTTGACATTACAGTAATTTGATTTTCAGAACCAAGCTGATGTCAGATACAGGCATGAGAAAAGGAGAGCACTGAATTTTAGTGGCTCAGAAGCAGGTGGAAGAAAAGAAATCTAAGAAACTCAATGATAATAGCCAAGCTAGTGTACAGATTTTTATATTGATGCTTCTTTTTCTGTCTTAGGTGTTACCAAATGTTGATATTGACAGTGTTTCAAGTGCCAATGGAAGTGTAAGTCACACTCCTCCAGGCTCTGAGCCTCAGCTCCCTCCTGTCGATGCTGTAATACAGGTACTGATTGTCTGGGAATTCAAACTTGTTCAAAAGGAAAATATGTTAAATTGCTGCAAAGTTCTTTTTGTCTTTCTTTAGTTAGAGAAATGAGACAGTTCTAGGAAAAAATGGAGTAATCATTCTAGAGAATTTATAGTACAAGGTATTTATTTAAGAAAATGAAAAATTGTTAGAAAGATGTTCTTCTGCCAAGATTAAATGATCACCATGGTAAAACTCTAAGAAAAACAGTGTTGCTGTGTCCTATAAAGAATTATAATCCCTGTTGGCCCATGCCTGTCTTGTTTTCACTGGCTTCAGTGTTCTGAGGATGTTCCTCATCCCTCCCTCTGCTGCTTGGCTCTTCTGGAGTGGTCAGTGGTGTGGCCCTGAGCCCCAGGAGCTTGTGGTGTTGGAGTGGCCACTCCATTGTCTTTCCCTACAACTTTTCAGAAGTGTTTTTAACCTTGGTCTGAGCAGCAAGGAAGGTTTCTGTGCAGCTCCAAGGGTAACTGCTGCGTGCTGAGTGATAAGGACAGAGTGTGTGAAGGCTTGTGAGGCAGTGATTATTTTTGTGTGGTTATTGTACATTCTATTTTCCTGATTTCAGGAGTTAGGTCCTCCAGAGTCCTGTGATTCAGGTATTCATTGACTCAGACAGAGACTGTGGACTAAAGTAGTGATTTATAGTTAAAATTCTATTACTCCATCCCAGCAAGTTGATTAGAGAGATGGAGCACCTCTCCTATGAGGAAAGACTGAGAGAACTGGGATTGTCCAGCCTGAAGAAGAGAAGGCTCTCATTGCAGCCTTCCAGTACCTGAAGGGACCCTACAAGAAAGACAGAGATTATTTACAAGAGGAAGGACAAGGGGGAATGGTTTCAAACTGGCAGAGGTTTAGATTGGATATTAGGAAGAAATCTTTGACTGGTGGGGAGGCCCTGGCACAGGGTGCCCAGAGAAGCTGAGGCTGCCCCATCCCTGGAAGTGTCCCAGGCCAGGTTGGACAGGGCTTGGAGCAGCCTGGGACAGTGGAAGCTGTGGTTTAATTGATTCCTGTCATGAAGGTTTTCTGCTAATGCATTTCCACCCCCCAAGATGAAATACCTAACAACTGCAATTTGTCTTTGTAAGATTCCAGAAGAAACACACAGTGAAGAGGAAGATACAAAGTTGCCAGGAGCTAACTTCATTGAGGTTACTGATGTCACACAGGTAATCCCATTGCAAAGGTGTCTTTTCCTTTTAATAATTTTTATATTTGTTTTCTATTTTTCTGTTAAAACTGGAAACACAATATAAAGAAACTAATCTGCTTTCCTAACATCTTTAAAAGTACACTTTGTGAGCAATACTGAACTGTTTACAGTGTTATAGAGGATCTTAGCAATTACTGTGTGTTGGTGAGTAGAGAAGCTTTTGAAAAATTAGAGTAAAAAGCTAAAATTAGCTTTTATTTGGATATGTTGGAATCCACTAGAAATACAAGTAGTTCTCTAAAATCAGCAGTGATTATAGCACTTAGACTTTACAATTTAAAACTCTGCATATAATGAATATAGTGACAGGCTGAGAGAGCTGGGGTTCTTCATCCTGGAGAAGAGAAGGTTCTGGGGAGGCCTTGGAGCCCCTTCCAGTGCCTAAAGGGGCTCCAGGAGAGGTGGAGAGGGACTGGGGACAAGGCCTGGAGTGACAGGACAAGGGAGAATGGCTTCAAACTGACTGAGGGCAGGGTTAGAATTAGATCTTAAGAAGAAACTCTTGCTAACATTGTTGTTTCTGTTTTATGGTAACAGGTGTATTTGAGATCCTCTTTTACAGTTTAATTTTTTAGGTAGCAAATCCTTTCTTTGGTTAGCTGACCTCTTGTCTGGGGGTTTCTGAGAAACACTCAAGGTTGGTGAACCAGCCTGTATTTCACTTTACTGAGCAAAACATACTGTGTGTAATCAAAATTTACACAAAAATTTATTCTTTTTACTTCTATGTTTCCTGATCCCAGGATTAGAATGTACATCAAATTTTAACCCTAGAGCTTACAGGTAGATTTATTTTTAAAATTAGTTAATCATTTAACATTATCAGTTCATTCTCAGCCCTAATTTGATAGTTTGTCTATCGAAAGTGTGCAGATGCTTTATTCATTTATAGTTTCAAAATTACCTTATGTTACTGGAGCTAGGAGTTAAATCTCTGTGGACATTGTTCTTCTGTTAGAAAAAAGCTTTAAAGAAATCCTTTTAGGAACTATCAAAAAATGCTGCAATGTTAAATTTTTATTATGTGAATAATAGTTACTCATCTTTTCTTTTTTCATATTTTTCCCTGGATTGCTTTTATCTTTTAGTTTTGGCAATGGGATATATTTTAACCACAATACCAAAAATGTTCCAAGTGAAACATATGTTTGGCCTATGACCACACAGACAATATTCTTAAAAATGTGCAAGGCAAACACAATGGGGAAGCATAAAATCAGTCTCTGGAGTGGCAGGGGTATTTAAGACATCAAAAGAAAGCAAAGTTATTGTTATAAAAGAGTCTTCAGATTCATGAAAGTATGTGCAGAAAATGCTATACAAAAAATAGCTTTTGTTGCCTTCCCCCACTCCCCTTTTATTATGAAAGCTTAATTCTGTTAGAACTGATTAGGATAAGTATTTGTGTGAAATATCTTCCTTTCTTGTTTGTTTTTGTTACCTTTTTCTGTGTTTGTTTTCTCTGGAGGTGCTCCAGGCCAGCTGGGGCAGGGTTTGGGGCAGCCTGGTGTGGTGGAAGTGTCCCTGCCCATGGCAGGGGTTTGGAACAAAATGGTCTTTGAGGTCCTTTCCCACCCAAAGCATTCTGTGATTCTGGGATGATTTCAGAGTGAGAAACTTGCTCTGCTCACCTGAGCCCGCAGCTGACTCTCAGATTTATTGAGTCTGCTCTCAAATTCTTACAAGCAGCCACATCCTGCAGTTCCTTTAGCAAGCTTCCTGGGATTTCAGATTAAATGCACTTTTTGCTGTCTCTGAATATGCCCTAATTGCAAGGTAGGGGCTTATTTCTCAGAATTTTTGCTTCCAATTGGAATGCCACAACCAAATATGAAACCTGCAGAGCTCAGAGTAAATGTATTTTCCTCAACCCTCATTTCCCCTTGATGCTCCTGGGCAGGACATTAGTATTTTTACACTTCACTCTTCAGACAAAAGCTCACAGGTGACACCTGCAATGCAGCCTGGCCTTGCTCCTGAGAATTGCTTTAGAAATCCATCAAGAAGAAATCCATGGCTTAAGTTTCAGGAGTCTTTAATAAAAGACTCTGCATGTACATGTTTGGTAATGGAACAAAACTAATCTATAACATCTCATAATTTCAAACTTTTTTTTTTTTTTAATTATCTGCATGTAATTTGGAAAATGGAATTTTGGCTTGATACTTTATAATAAAGTAGAGTGATTAATATTCCAATCATATCTGAAAGACTTTCTAATTTATGCCATATTTTGATTGGGGGTTGTGATAGATATTTTCAACAGTCTCCAGGGAAGCAAAATGCAGAATTGAGTGCAGATTATTCAAGATTGGTCTACAAGTTGATATATGTTCAAGTTCAATCTGTATAATTAAATACTGACTATTCCATTATTTTTTTTATTTCAGCAGAGATAATATATCACCCCCAAATGAATATAATTTTGTGCATTATTATGGATTTGTGCACTATAAAATATTTTAGAAATGCAGTAGAGCTGCAAAAGTTTGTCAGAGTTACTAAATAGATGTAAGATCGATTGTATGTACTTGCTTTATTTAATCCAGATGTTTGTATTTTGCATACTTTCAGAGGTAATAAATAGGCAACATCAAAGAAAATTTATGGAGTAATGCAGGCAGAGGAAAATGCATAATGAAATGCTGGACAAAGACATCTTTACATTTGCTGTCAGAATGAATTATTCTTCTCAATACACATATCCCAACAGCATGACCTGCTGAGCAGCTTGCAAGGCACCCAGAGCCTTCTGACTTTACCTTCACTGCTCATTTCTATGCCTACAATGGTTGAAAGATCTTTGTTTATCACCCAAATACACATATTCTGATTTTTTTTCTCCCTTCTTTGAAGATTATCACTATTTAAAGATCCAGAAGGATCCAGTAGTTCTTTGTGTAATACCCATAAGGGACCTCTGTGGCTCTGCAATTTTAAAGTGTGTTAAGGTAGAAGTGTTAATGCTGGGCTGGAGAAGGAGAAAGAGAAATGTTGGTTTTTTTCCCCCTTTTCTCTGTTCTTTCTCTTTTCAGTGATTTTTTCTTTATTTTTTTTCATAGATAATATGTAGCATGAGGTCTTCTTATTTTGTGGGTTAAAAGTAAGTTTAATTTATATAAGGGAAAAGGAGACTTTTTTTCTCCTTTTACTGTGTTGGAGATTAATCTTAGTAAATATGGATTTACAGTGAGCTTTTATGCACCATCACATATTTCTCACTGGTAATTCAGGGCTCAGCTCCTCATCTCTTTTTGGCATGCCAAATTTTATTCTTAGACAGTCGTGTTACTATTAGAGACATTTGTTTTTAATATTAGAAGTGGAGGTTGCAGTTTCTCATTCATCAGGACACATTACAATGTGATGGGTTAGTGGCTGCTTTTTGGGACTTGGTGCTGTGTTTGTGCTCCAGGGGAAAAGGAGGGAGAAATCTTTGGGAAAACCCAAATATTTTAACACACCAAGTCACTTCTCTGACTTTTTAGAAAAAGAACTTTAACATTAAAATCAAGATGTCTATGAGGGTTGTCTGAATTTTTGCCCAGAAATACCTTCTAACTTTCTGCAGCTGAAGTTAATGGAAGTACAAACACACGTGTGACATATGTGTAAACTATTAATATCTAGTTTTCAGTGCTGGCAAGTTTATTAGAGTTTGGATTAACTACATGCTCATTAAGTTTTGTCACTTTTGTAACTTTTGTCTTTTCAGACTGGAGACTTTAAAGAACATGTTTGATTCATTTTAAGAAAAACAACCAAAACACCAAAACCCAACCCAAACAAACAAACAAAAAACCCCTAACCCAACAAATAACTGCAGAATGTTTCCTAAAGTGTTTTGTTCAGAGGAGGGACATTTCTGGTGTGACATTAAAGAAACCTGACGTAGGTCACAACTAAATTTTTCAAGTATTAGCATTGCCACTGGCTCTCTGCCCTGTGCAGCACAGGCAGGAAATATGAGCCAAATCATGTTTTACTGAGCAGTTCCTATGGCTTTATACCTCTACAGATTTATGATTTGCTAAGCTTAGAGTTGTATCAATTAACTGCAACGTACTGAGGAGGGAGGAGTGTGGTTTGTGTGCTGTGATATGTCCACAAATGTTTCTTAAAGAAAAAAAACCTGACAGCTACCTCAGTGACATTGCCTTCCAGAAATGTACCATAACTTAATTTACTACTTATTTATTAGGATCAGGAAGAGGAGAAGGATGAAATTCCAGAATTCCTTGAGCCTCATCTGGAGCTTAATGGCCAGTTTAGAGTTGCCTCACCACAATACAATGGTCCTTTGTTTCCTCCAGTGGCTTCTGCTCCTCAGCAGCCTGCTGATATTTTGGATGAGCTGATTCAAAGGAGAGAAACTATAGAAAACAAGTTGGTAAATTGGTGAGTTGCAATTTAACAAAGTGCCAAAGAATATATGTGAAAGAAGGAATGATTCCCTAATGATCTTTCACTTTTTTCTCGCCTCCATTTCCTCCTTATCCATCTTCCTTTGAGCTACCTTGCATTTTATGTCAATAATGCTCTTTTGTGTGCTCTTAGGTGTCTTGATGTTTGCTGATAATTAAATGGGTTTTATTCTGCCAGGGTGGAACAAGAAGTAATGGCAAAAATTATTGATGAGATGCACCCAGCTCAGAAAGAAACAGTGCCCAACATTAGCAGCTCAGACAGTGAAGACAGTGAGGTTGTAAACCCTGGCATTGGTAAGTAGGAATTATTACAGATGGATTATCTCAAATTTTGGCGAATTTTAATAAGTTGTGTAGGTGGCTGTTGCCTCAGCTTAGAAGTGGATAATCCTGGACCTGTGAAACTGTGAAAAGCAGCAGTGCACACCTGAATTTATGCTGAGACAGAGCAAGTGTTACAAGGCCATTGAAATAAATTATCTAAAATAAAAAGAAAAGGAAGACTTAGAATAACTATACAAATCACCTTCTGTTATTGGCTGCCTAAGTCACATTTGGCATTTTGCTGAGCCTGTAACGTTTGTTTGCCTTTCTTTTTGTAATAGATATGTCCAAAATTACTTCTGTTATGAATGTGTGAGAATGGAGAGAAAAGCATTTCTCCTGTGATGTCACTGCCTGTGCTGATGCCTTCTTTTATGCTCCTGATTTGTTCCTTTACTGTTTATCTGGGAGGTTAAAAAAAAATTCCTTTTTGCAAAGGAATGTTTAAGATTTCATAGAGAGTGAGTGGCTGCAGAACAGTACATGGATTTTAGGAGACCTGGCTGTGTGCTTCACATTCTTTCATTTGCAGTTGAAGTCGCAGGTGGTGGAGGACTTCAGCTCTTTGTCAATGCTGGTGTCCCTGTGGACTCAGAAATGATAAATCATTTTGTGAAGGAAGCTCTCAGTGAAACCATTGCAACCATGCTGGGTGACAATAAGGCTCAGAAAACAGTTCCTGATCCAAGTGTTCCCTCCAGCACAACCACAGTGATGGTAAGAGTGTTTCATTCAAGCTTTTCTGCTGAACTTTTGAGGGACGTGGTACTGAATTTCATGTTGTTGAAACATAGCTTGTGTTATTTTCAACCAAAAATAGTTATTCTGCTTTCTTGCAAACAAATGAGAGATGAAGAAATTAATTTTCTCATCTAAGAAGAAATGGAAGCTGAGAGCAATATTATTTTTGGTCTTACGGGCTTGTAGCCATTTTTTGATATCTGTTAAAATGACTATTAATTCTTTCTGAGTTTTGCCTTCAGTAGTTTTGAATAAATGCTTAATTGATGAGTAGAGCTTCCTGTAATACAGGATAATTTCCTGTGTTCCCTTTGATAATCAAATGACAGCTGGCTCTTGCTTTGATAACAGCATGACTGTGCTGCAATCTGGTGTTGTGTAATGTCTTTGGGATGCTTGTGGAAATTGCTGTGCTCAGAGATCCAGCTATGGAAGGCTTTGTTGAAAGTGGCATCAGTCATTCTGTCCTGCTGCAGTGCAGTTAGCCTGAACCACCTCCTCCTGCCTGCTGCAAGGGATAAATGGGTAATTCTGTATGCAAAAGTAAAGGTTTCACTGCTGAGGGCTCAACCTCAGCCCCCCAGCATCTCTTCCACTCCATTACAGATTGAGGAGAGCCTGATGTTCCTCTCAGCTTGTTCTTCTGATGTTCAGAAACCTCTTCTGTTCTCCATTCTGTGTTTACTGTGATGCCTGGAAAGGCTGACCTGGAACAGAGATTAGACAGAGCAAAAGGAATAAAATAGGAATTTACTGAAAGGATTCACCTTGGGCAGTGCAAGAGCCTGGCTGGGGCTGCACCCAAATCAAATCCAAGATGGATCCTGGTCGCGAGTTTTTACACTTTTGTAAATTTTGGTTCATCTTGGGGTCAATTGTCCAACCACAGCCCCAGGCTATGGAGTCTCAGCCCCTGCCTTGCCCCCTTTCCCTCACTGTTGTTTCTGATTTTTGGGTACTGAGTGTCCTTGATTCTCCAGCTGGGCAGGGATTGTTTTGTCACTGCCCTGTGAAGAGACCAACACCTAATATGAAGTTTCAGAGTCACACACTAAGCAGCAGAGAAAAATATAAAAGCTAAACCCAAGGCTTCAATGGATCTTCCTTTTGTTTCTCTATCAGCTTAAACTGAAGTATCCTTTAGATGAAGTGGTTGGGTTTTCCTTGCTGTATGTATTTGTGCACTTCACAGGATTAGTTTTGTCCTCTTTGGCCTTTGTTTGATTATCCTAAGGAAAGCAACCATCCATATGTGGACCATTTTTTGACTCTTGCTGCACTTTGATATTTTCCAGTTTAGATTGGTTTCAAGCACAGGTAACACTAAAATGCTAACAGACAGTTTCAGTAATAATGTGGTCTCCAGGGTGGGTTTTCCTCAATGCCTTGAGCTGTAGTTGTGATTCTCTCCTGCCTTTATTGGAATCCCAAGTAGCTAATTATGTTTTTTTTTAAATCTTTCCACATTTGTAGCATGATAGCACAAGTTAAAGGATAGCTAGCAAAGTTTTTTTTTAATTATTCTTTTTCCATTTGTGCTCAGTCTACAGGAGAAGTTCTTGAAAATGTAGTTTATGCATTCTTGATTTCTCCCTTCCCACTGTGAATTTTCATATCTTTCAGCTGTTACTGAGTTCCTTGGTGTTCACGATGTCACACAGTTGGGTGTGAGCTGCCAAATGTGTTGGCAGGTTCCATTTCCCATGAGAAATTTTAATAAAAATCATCAGCCTGAGGACATACTCTTCAGAAACTAGCCTGGAAGTCTCACTTTAGCCTCATTGCCTCGTTTTCTTTATGAAATGTCAGAGAACAAGGCTGGAAAAAACCTGGCAAGGTGCAGCATATTCCTCCCCAGCAGGCCAAACAACAGCCATCATATTTGCTTGTCAGATTTATGTCCATTGCTGTCATCTTTTTAAGGAACATCACAATTCTGTTTGTGCTTCTTTTAGTGCTTTGCTGCCTTGGTTATTGCTTTGTTGGTAATCTTCTTTTAGCTGGTTCTTCTTACCATAAAATCATCACACTGACTCTATTTTATTCATGTCATGAAATGTTTTTTGCTTAACATTGTCTCAAATGCTTTATTAAAATCCATATAATAATGGAATTAATATTTAGACTGGACCTTAGGAAGCATTTCTTTACCAAGTGGGTGGTTAAACATGGGATTAGGCTTCCTGGAGAGGTGGTTGGTATCCCAGACCTCTCAGTATTTCAAAGGCATTTGGACAACGCCTTTAACAACAAATTGCAGCTTTTGGTCAGCCCTGACTTGATCAGGCAGTTAGACTGGATGATGATTGTAGTTCCCTTCCAACTGAAATAGTCTGTTCTGTTCTATACATAATGATTTCCCAATTTAATCATTTCACTTCCTAATTCACTGGTTGTAATTTATTTTGTCCTGATGCAGCTTCCTGGAGGAGTTAAATCCACGGGAGCAGCAACTGTTCCTGTTCTGTGATGAGCTGCCTTTCCCTCTCTTCCTCAGCTCTCTCTGGGGCTCCTGGGAAGGCAGGAATTCTGTACAGAGATCCTGACTGTGGTTATGATTTTTCTTCCCCTCAGGAGGCTCCTATGCCTACTCCAGTGCCAACACCCCAGGCCACACCACCACCAACACCACCTTCAGAAAAAGAATTGCCTCGGGTCAAAACTCCAGATTCGTCTCCATCTCCTCCAGAGATGACTGGGGATGTTCGTGGACATGAAAAAATTAAAGAAACAGGTATTGAAAATAATCATTGAAGTTTAGAAGCAGCAAATATGCTTTAATCTACTGCCTTTAATTTTCTTCTTCAAAGAAATGTTATCTTTCAAGATAAATATTCTTGAGGCTATAATTCAAGTGGAAACTCATGTTCTACAAAAATTTATGGGCTAATTTATATAGAAAGCAAACATCTTTTATTTGGTAACAGTTCTGTTTTCAAAATTAATGCACATTTCTATGGTCTGTGTGATTTCCACCCCTCCAAACCCCTCCACACTTTCTCACATCAGAAAAATAGCTGTCTTTTGCTCCTTCCTGTGCTTGTAATGTTAATTAAATCAAATGTACACTCTTCAAGTAAAGCAGCTTGGTTTTTTTAAATGCAGAGCAGTCTCCCTTGAGGAAGAAATTGAGGTTTTATTCAAACTTCTTCAGGTGCCAGCACTGTACTTAAAAGAAGCAATTCTTCATCTAGTCTTTATCAAAAGATATCACAAAAACTGCAAGTCCTTGGTAGAACTGACTCTCTCTGTCTGAGATATATTTCCTGCTTTCCTTTCTGATCTGAAATTTGATTTCCCATGTGCAGGAGTTGAGATTGCAGCTGCCATGTGCCCTGTGGTCACCCGTGTGGTCACCCCTGTGGTCACCCCTGTCACCACACCTCCCCCAGTAGCCACACCGAGCCCTCCTGTCTCAGAATGGGGCTCCCAAGCTGAAGAAAGGGAAAATCCAAAGCTTCCAAACCCGTGGGATGGTGCAGAACTTCCTCTGGAAGAAGAGAATCCCAGTCCTGGCCCTGAAGAACCATTCCATCCAAGGACTCTGTGAGTTCAACAGGCTGCACAATCTTCTTAAAAACTGAAATGTGTATATTCTTTCCACATATATGCTCAAAATGTCAGCAGAAAGAAATGCTTAATGTATATACCAGGAGGCATTTGGGATAAGCTGAGATTGGGTTTTCATTTTTCTAATTCCTTCTCTCTTTCATATTTAGAGAAAAATATTATATCAGGGCCTTTCTCAGGATTTATCAGCCTTTATTCATGGCCCTGCTGAACGCTGTACTTAGTAAACTTGTATTGCTACACCTGCCAGTAACACATAGAGTGACAATGAAATACTGTGTTATTAGCATTTTAATTTTTGTGTTACCTCCTTGGGAAGACACATGGTCATTTTTAGTTACAACCAGAAACTCTCAGATAACATTATTTAACATGTTAACTCTTGAACTATTCTGTAAAATGCTGTGCTCTTGCATTGAAAAAAATACTTCAAAATTAGTTTCTTTTCAGCATTGAGTTAAGATGCTGGTCTGCACTGCTCAGCCTGTCTTGGTGTATTCACAGTGCACGTTCTGACCTTGCAGGGAGATGTCAGTGGTCAATGATGAGGAGCCAGAGACCTTGGTTTTACCATCTCAGCAGCTGCCAGTGAGGCCCTTTGAGCCCCTTCCCTGCCATGCCCTGGTGCCATCACCTGTGGCCACGCTCAGCTCCGGGGTGTCCACGCAGGAGAGCAGCCTCACCCCCACCGAGCCTGACACCACGGACAGACCCCTCTCAGAAGGGGAGGTGCTCTTCACCTATGAGCAGCCACTGCCTGCAGCAGGTAACCTGTAACTGCCTGGTGTTTGCACCACTTCATGAGTGGCTTGTCTGAAGTTTCTTCTGTCTTCACTCAGAGCCAGGATTAAAAAACACGAAAGAGACGAATTTCCTCGTCTTCAGGCTTGGTTGTTTATTAAATCGTACCTAAAGTACAGAGAGTTCTGCAACACTTCCAGCTACCAGCTAAAAGTGAGCAAAATGGAGATGAACCTAGCTAGTTACAAGATCTCTTAAAGCTAAACAGTCCAATAGAGAATTAACACCTGTATTATTTATACTTTTAACCCAATAACCAAATTCCCATGACCCTCAGTGCAGCACTAACTGTCCAACCAGAAACTACTGCCTGAAACCATGAAGAAGGAAGATGAACACCAAAAGAGATACCACTCAAAATCCTCCATCTTGTCCCATACCTATTACTATATTATAAAACCCCCAAATTTCAAAACCCTTCCCCATGTGAAAGCACACATTTCTGTTTAACTCCACACCTGTGGTTTTAACTCCATCACTCAAATTTGTAGCCTTCTCCAAGGCCTCAGGTCCAAAGCAGTGTTCTCCAGGGGGTCACTGTCAGAAAGCACAGAAAGCTCAAAAAGTGGTAACCAACTGTGGAAATCAGAATTGGAATTATTTCTTATTCCTCTAAAGCTGAAAGCATTAACTTCCAGTTCATGAAGATTGACAAGACCTTGTTCTTTTTCCTGTAGCTGAACAAAATGCTGCTGTTTATTAAAGAAAAAAGATTCAATCTGCTCTTTTGTCATGAGATCAACTTGGAAAATAATTGGGACTTGCCTTGCTTAAGTACCATGTGGTACTAAGTTGTTGTTGAAAGCAAAGTGTAAGAAATATGAAAAGAAATATGAAAATATGTCTTTATAATAGACATCCGGCAGTAGGAATTTCCAAATTTACTAAAGCACAGTGTTGCACGTCTTAAAGAATGCAGCTTGGGTTTTCTGTCATGTAACTTGAATGTTTCTAATAGTTGCAACATAAAATATTTTTCAGCCTTAGCAGAAGGAGGATTGTCTCTTCCAAACCTCACTGAGAGCTTATCCAGTACTCTCCGAGATGCCAATGAAATGGTAAGGAACTCTCATAAAGAATCACAGATAACGTGGGTTCCACCTTGGGCATCCTGCTGAATTGGATGTGCTTTAAACATTTTCACTCATCAACTTTTTTAATTCACACTTTTAAACCACATACTCACAAAGAGTGTTAGAATTTCAGAACACCAAACATTATACAAACTAATTTATATTTTTTAAAAGTTGGATGATTTATATACTTCTGTAGGTGAGAGATAGCTATTATGCACTTTCATTTCTTGTTTCTAGTTTTAAGGCATCTTAAACAGAATAGAACATTTCTGTGCTCTGAACTGTTGCAGCTTTGAGCCATCTTTTAATTGCTTGTGTGATTAAATTATTAAAGTGGGTTAGCTGAGCCTGGAGTTAGTTAAACCTGCTTAAAACATCAGAATAGTTTCTTATCCAATGTCTGCTGTAGTCCATGATTCTGGAAGCCTCCCAAGTCAAGGTATTCTCAATTCCCTTTCTCTTTTGTATTCCTCAAATGCCTGGACTTTCCCTCTTTGATTTTGTGTAAAGCCTCTTGTTAAGATGTATCTGTGACCTAAATTATAGGAGATATTATGGGGAAGAGAAGAGGAAGCTCTGGGGGGACCTTACCAATCTATAAGTATGTGGTGGAAAGAAGTAAGGATGACAGAGCCAGTGAAAGAGGCACAGGACACAGGTTGAAATTCAGGAAATTTGGTTTAAACATAAAAGATGTTTTTTCTGTGGAGTGGCCAAACACTGAAAGAAGGGCTGGGTTGGGCTAGACAACCTCCAGAGTTCCCTTCCCAGCTCCACAAGGGAAGTTTAATGTTCTGGAGCAGGAGTCCTGTTCTCCTGGCCTTTCCTTCCTACACATTTCTGCACATTCCTGGGAACACCTCGCCTGTGCAAAGCTTCCCATTTAATATCCATGATTTCATTCAAGTCATAGCATCAGAGAACCATAGAATCATAGCCCCAGCTGGAAGGGGCCCACAAGAATGATCAAGTCCAACTCCTGGCTCTGCACAGAACTCCCCCAAAACAACCACCACAGTTGTGAGATTCTTCCCTGAACTGAATCTTTAGGTGCCTCCTCTGACTGCCACACTTCCTCTCTTAAACTCTGGGCTTAAAAAACTCTGATACCAGATAAACCTAAATTAAAGTTCTCTTTGTCAGAGGAACATTTGCCTGCTGAGATGTTCTTCCCTCTCTTTGTCAGCTGGATTGTAGCTCCTTCTAGTATTTCTCCATCCCCAATCCAGGCTGTTTGGTTGAGGAAGGTAATTCCTCGCTGGTGAGAGCTGCTCTGCAGCCAGATTATTGCTAGCAAAGGATGTGTGAGGATTTAACTGTTCCCCTGATCTTTGGAGGCCTGAAGGGCCTCGTTCCTCTTCAAGTGTTACAGTCTTTTGTATCAAATAAAGAATGTGCATGTCTGGGTAAAAGAAAACAGTGTGTCATCTGTTTGCTTATTTTTAAAAGCTTGAATTTTCATGACATAATTTTTCAGTGTGGAAACTTACTGTTAAAAAAAGCTTGGTTGTGAACTAAAGTAAGAATGATTCAAATTCTTACCAAAACCAGTTTTGGAGCATGTGTCATGTGGATTTTTTTGTTTTGTTTTGTTTCTTTTTTCTAGGATTATGATCCTCCAAGTGAAGGGCAGGTGCTGAGGAGAATGGATAAAGGCTGTCACAGAGATCCTGTCCTGACACTTTTAAACAAATTAAATCAAGCACCTGTTTTTGTACAAGAAGGAATTGACCACTTGGAGGTAATTTACAGTCCTTGGCTTTCCAGTACAGTAGTTTTGAAGTGATTCTTTCCTGCTCAAAAGTAGATAAAATATCCCAAGCTTATCCTTCCTGTTGGCTAGAACAGCTTCATACACTTCATTCCCTGCTGCAAGTGATCCCACTTCTGTTGGTTTTGTTCTTGTGTAAAACTCTTTAAAAACACTGAAGTCTGAGTGTTATGAAAATACTGTACATCATATGTACCTCGTTTTCCAGGTATGAGTGTCCCCATTGTCCCAGATTTGTCCTGTCACTTGGGGTACCAGGGAATTTCCTGTCACTTCAGCAATACAGGTGGAATGTTTCACAGGACAAATATCCTGCATTTAACAGCCACAGGAGTGTTTTAGGGAGCTATGAAGAGCAATGCAGCAAGTGTTTACATGTACTTTGCACATGCTGTTGATACTTATCTTGGAACAAAACCTCAAAAATTCCTATTCAGTTGGCAGAAAAAAAAAGTGACTCACAGAAAATTGTAACTATCTGCATCACAATTTTTTTGTCACACATCTGAGTTATTTCCGTGTTGAAAAATAACACTTTGGACTGGTTGTTCATTCTAACTGACATAGCTGGAGGAATGTTTGAAGGAAATGAACTTTGAATACTGCAGCAATGGTTTGTGAACACTTTTATTTACAGCAGATCTTGCTTTTTTTGTGGTGCTACTGATGCAGTTTCTTCCTTCTGTCTTGGTCAGTTTAGTCTAAATAATTACCAATTTGACTCACCTCCTTAGCTGTTCGTCTGTTTTTATTTTGCTAATGAGCTCTGGTGGCTGGACTTGGTGAAAAGCTTTCTACAGTGTTAACTCCCAAGGCTGCCTGTAATTGCAGTGACATTTTCTCATCAGCACTGCCAGTTACAAATGCAGCTCTAATTTGCTTTTTCCCTTTCCCATAGTCACAGACCACTCAGTGTGTCCATACAAAGGCACTCATAAACTCCCCCCAGATTCTGGCAAGGTGTGTGCAGGTATCCCTCCTCCTTTAGAGGAGAATCAACATTCTCCTGTATTGCCTTAGAGTGATACTGTGCAAATGTGTGTGTGGATTCCACCTGTTTTCCTACATGGAAGCAAGCTGGATTTAACCTGCAGCTTTGAAAGTCAGGATCCAGGGAGCCATTCCTATTTTTAGTGCCCTCCCAACCTACTTGAAAATTGAAGCTTTTATCTGACATGCAGTGCAGAGAGTCAATAGCTTTTAGATGCTGCCAATGTTTCAAGGTCAGGCAGTCAACAGTGGCCAAATCTATAATATAAAAGGCTTCATGTGCTAAAAATGTAACTTAGGTTCTGATCATGTTGAGATACCACTAACAAAATAAATGTTTGGCTGCAAGTGTTTTTCTTCTGTCCAGTACTGATAAATGTAGATCTTAACTTCAAATCTAGATGATATTTCCAGTGCTTGTTTTCTTTATCCAAGCAAATAGAGTAAGCTTAAGTTTATAAATGCTTTCAGGGATAATGTAATTAGGAAATGATGCCTGGGTTTGGAAGACTTGCACTGGGTTTTTATATGTGCTGTGGTTTTGGTGTTCTCTGCAGGATTCTGATGGCAGCCTTGGGGAGCTCAGTGAAGGTCAGAGACCGAGGCTGACCAGAGCACAGGAGAGAATCCTGATGGGAAATTCCATTTTTATGGAGCACCCGTCTGCTCAGAGCTCTGGGAACAGACCACGCCACAGTCTCCGTTCTGCATCTCCAGGGCAGCTTACCCAAACTGGAGGTACAATTACATTCTTGTTTCTTCATGATATTCATGTGGATTCTGAGGATTTTCCTTAACAGAATCTGAAATAATTCCTGACCATATGTTCAAAATCCAAAATTTACAAGCAATTCCTACAATGAAATTATTAGTGTTCCTCTTTCAAGAACTGAATTTAATTCAAGCCTTGCCTTCACTCTTATCAATTTCCTACAACTGGAATAAAAATCATGGCAAGAACCTACTTGCCTATAGAAAAGTTAACTTGTGAAGTGTGTATTTTATTCTTTTAAGTCAAATTCAGTTGTAAGAAACAGATGGAAGCAGTTTCCATTGGACAGGTGTTAACAGCAGCACTTCAAGCTGCTTCTGTCTGTCCCCTTGCTCAGCACTGCTCCTCTTTGCTTTTATCACTCCATCGTGGTGATGCTGCAGTGGCTCATAATGGCAATATATTTTAGCTCCATATATTCCTCTAATGATATGGAAATTAATTTTTTCCCAGATGGGTATCTCAGGCACACTCATCTTGTACAAAGCAGGGATATGTTGCTGTGGTAAAGCAGGGAAATTTATTTTATTTCAGTTGAAAGTAGTGCTGAAACCAGTGGTCCATCCTTCCTCTTCCTTATTTTTTATCCCAGGCCCTCTGTTGCTGAAATATGCTTCTGTAATTGTTTAATGTAGCTGCTGCAATCATGTAGAAAGTCTTTATTTTGTTCACTGTGGTTTTAAATATGTTTAAACTAACCTAAATAATTACTATGCTGTTGCAACACAAATGTGGTTGCACTGATTCATCAAAAGTTGTGTAAATTAAAGTGATCAAACAGCTGGTTTTCTGTCCTTTTAATTTTCACATTTATGAATTTGACAAGAGGAGCTTATCTCACATTATTAACCCTTGACCAGTAGGAAGTGGATTGAAATTAAATGTGTTTAACACGTGGCAAAAACAATCTTGGAGAAAGTAGAATATTTGCTCGGTTTTGAAGTGATTAACATTTGAACTGGTCACACAGTAACCTTTTAAACCAGCTGTGACCTAACATTTTGGACAACTGCACCAGTGTCAGCCTTGAAAATAAATTCTGGTACTTTATATATTGTCAGACTTTTCCTTTAAAGTAGTTTGTTGAAGGTTGTTTAAAAATTGGTTGCATGAGGTTTCCTGAGATAAGAGATTTCTCCAAGTCACTTGTTTGTGTTGGTAGAGGTCAGTCAGCACTAAGGACACTGAGATGTAGCAATAAATCAGTGATCAGATCATCTGCAGATAGTGCAGGACAAGGGGAAATGGTTTCAACTGAAAGAGGAGAGATTTAGATTAAATGTGGTGAGGAAATTCTTCCCTCTGAGGCTGGTGAGGCCCTGGCACAGGGTGCCCAGAGAAGCTGTGGCTGCCCCTGGATCCCTGGAAATGTTACAGGCGAGGTTGGACAGGGCTTGGAGCAGCCTGGGATAGTGGAGGGTGACCCTGGCCATGACAGGGGGTGGAACAGGATGAGGTTTAAGGTCCCTTTCACCTAAAACCTTTCTGGGATTGTGAGATTTCTGATTCTGTAAGTCTGTAATGGTGCTCAGGACCATGGGGTTGGAAGATGCAGAACCTGTCCCTATGTCTGTCTGTCCTTATGTCCTCCTAACCCAGACTGGCCATGGCTGTATCTGGCACAGGCTTGTATCTCCTTGTATCTTTAAAAAGAAATTTTGAGATTTATTTAGTTAAATTTAGGATGACCTTCGGCTGTCCTGTAAATATCTTAACACTTTTCAAAACAGTTCCTGCATGTGATAATGCACCAGCACTGTGTTTCTGTACTGATTTTTAAGCTCATCTCTAAATCTTGTAGTGTTATTTTTTTAACAGGGTATTTCTGGGAGGAGGCAAGGGGCCTGGACTACCAACCATAGGGGAATGCCCCGTGCTTTTACATAATCTTTATAATCCCAGACTGAGTTCTGTTGCATTCTGATGATTTTTAATTTAGTTTCCCTCTCTCTCCACCTCTGAACACAGCACAGTAATTCATTGCATTGTTAAGGAAACAACATTGTATAAAAGCTTGGATCTGCTTTCAAGACAGGAGGTGTTTTCATATCAAGGAGCAGAAATCCTTGTTTCTAAGTCCTTTTGTTAGTGAAGTCAACACTGAATAGAAAACAATCTAGTTTGGAGGGAGGGTCGGGTGTGCGGTGGAAGGAATGATCTGTGATTGTTTCCACTTTCTTTCCAAACATTTTTTCTCTTTCTACTGGGATGTGATTGCCTGTCCTTGCCTAGTGCAAGTCAACTATTTCCTGACAGTCACAACAGCTACAGTGCAGGTCCATAATTTTATTTGATAATTATTTTCAGGGCTACTACTAAATAATAGTTCCACCTGTGGGTGTTGGAGCTCACATATTTCAGGGTGTGCATCTCTGACATGAAACCTTGCAGTGGATACTCAGTTCCTCTGTCAGGATGAGTCACTCACAGAGGTGTCTGTAAGAATTTTGGGGATTGTGTTTGTGGGTTGTTTTCAGTTTTGTGGCCAGTTTTTATTTGTATTATGGAAACAGAATGTCCATTTTTAGGATGGAGCAGATGTTGCTCATGTAGGTAAATAACAGCATCTTGATGATCAGTCATTTATAAATTCTTGTTTTCAGTGCTTAAAGTCAAGGATATAAAAACCAACATGCAAATGAAATGTGGCACATGCAGTCTTAAAGTGAACAATAATTACAGTTAATTAAGCAATGATTATAGTTAATTAGGCTTAAAATTCATTCTTTGGCTCTGTATGATAGCAGAAGGCTAAAGTTAGTTCATGAGCTGTCAGTACATTTTTCATAAAAATCTTCTACACACTTGCAGGCTGCAAAACCATGATAAATGTTGGATTAGAGAGCAAATTATCCCTTTAAAAGAGACTATATACAGGTTTATTTTAGTTCATACAGGAGTGAAACATTTAATAAAGAAGCTTTTCCAATTTCTTTCCAGTAAGTGTGATAAAGCTCATTAAGCATATAATGGTATGATGAACTGTACAGCTCTGAAGCTTTCTCAGATGCTGCCACATTAGAAATCTACAGATGATAAAGCTGATTTATTTTTTCAATTTCCACAGACATGTATTTCTTATTTCATTTTTATCCCCACAAGAGCAATTTAAGGAGTATACAATAAGCCATGTAAGGAAGAAATAATTCTCTTTAACATTGCATGTCCCACTGTTGGAAGTTTGAAAGGCTGCACATTCTGCCACGTGAGTTGACTGGGAGATTGTTGTTCCAGCTCATGAAGGAATTTTTTTCTCTCAGCAGAAATTCTTGGAGATGCAAATACAAGTCCTAGTCCAATGCTTTTGGCTGAACTGGAGTCACAGCCAGGTTCAAATCCTGCTCTGCCAGCAGCCCAGCCCAGCTGCAGAATGACACCACTCCCAGAGGATCTGTCCCAGGTGAGCTGAAAGGATTTTTCCTGTGCCTAGTCATAAAAAGCAGACTGAAACCTGGAAAAATAAATTTTCCTGTTTCACTATCCTGCCTGACATCACAGAAGTGCTGCATTTAAAGTGACACATTCATCTGAGAAGCTGCAGTCCAAGTGCATGTGTGCAGTAAAGGTGACTGTGTTTCCTGTGACAAATCCTTACAGTATCCCTCTTTAAAGCTCAGACCTTCTTTTTTATCTTTTCTGCACTTCCTCACAGCTTCTAAGCTCTCACAGAATCCAGTCCTGTCCAGTGTTCATTGAGGCATTGCCATATTTTAGGGGCACAGTCGTTCAAATGCAGGATAACATCCTGGATATATGGCTGAGGAAGTGACAACAGAGATTTGGCCTCATGAGTTGTCACCCACTCTGCATTCCAGGAGCTTCATCTGTCCTAGCAGGGGCAGGGTTGGAAAGACAGTGAGGATGATGAAAACCTCAGAGCACTTAAAGGTAGAGGAACATCCTATTGATCTCTGCTTCAAACCTAGGCAGTTAATTTTTTGCTACTTTATTAGTATGTGCTGTTACCTAGAGATGATGATTTACTTGCTAACTAAATTCAAATAACAAGTGGCAAAAGCTAAAAATGAGGTGCTCTCTAATATATGAGGCTTCACAGTGTGTTTGAAAGCATTACATACTTACCATGGCTGCTGTGTTCATGGATAAATTCTGTCCTTCCCTGATGGTTTATTTGTATTAAAAAAAAATCTAAAGTATCTTGCATTAAACTGCATTTGGGTTTATTTTTTTGAGCCTTGATGTGTATTGTGCCATTGGTGTCTGAGCAGTCCTTAAATTTGTCACCTGAAGTGATGTGTTGCATCTTCAGAGAAGATTTTAAATGTTACACCTCTTTTACTCTGAGCTCACCAGAACAGACTTTCTTGGAATTTCTGTTCACAGGCAAAAGTGGATTCTAGCCAAAAGTGATGGGGACAAAGAGGGTAACTCGTGTCTTTCACAGAAAATATACAGACAGTTATATATTATCTTATCCTTTATCTGTAGGTAGTTATACATTATCTTATCTTTAGAAACTTTTTCTTGCATCTGAACCCTTAGTGTGGCTTTTTTTTTTTTTTTTGCCTGCTGGCATGTAAAACTCACTCTCCCTTCAAACCATGCAACCAAACCCCAGAACTCTGTGTGGTTTTGTTGTCTGTGTTTTTTTTCCTGAGTGTGGTTATTCCTGATTTAAGACTCTAAATCACTTTCTCACAGAGTAACTTTTTATCTTTTCTGTGAGGTGATCATACTTACAAGTGATTGCCCCATCCAGGAGAGATGTTTACTGTCGTAAGCCATATTCTTTAAGATCCTCTACTAGATCCTTCTCTGAAATTAAAAAATAATCCCTGTACCATGTGATTGGAAAGCTTGTGACAGCATTTATCTACCTTGTGACAAGGATGAAGCTGTCCCTGCTTTAATTAAAGATGGCATCTGTGTGCAGCTCTGCCATTGGATCTGCCTTGTCACTGCCTGCAGGAGACAGATTTCCTGGTAACATTATAGCAGCTGAGAGAGCAAGAGGTACTGAGGCTTTCAGGATGATTCATTCATTCATTGTGTGCAATGTTTAAGGCAGCAATCACTTCAGACTTCGTGAAGGATTTCCTCTCAAGTTATTCACTGACTCTCACATCTTGTTCTTCATCTCCAGACAGTGTTTGCCTTCATTGAAATGAAACTGTACCACCTACCTACAGAGCCAGAAGACAAATCTATGTAGGAGCAAAGTTTGCTGAGAGACCTGAGAAAATGCAGGGTTTCAGATGGTGTCCTGCTGGGCCTTGGGCTTGGGAGGTGATGGCACAGCCTGGGTGGTTTCTGCAGCCTGTGTGAGCAGGATCCTCGTGGCAGGGACGTGGAGCTGCCAGGCTTCTTTGCTCTCTGGCACTGGTGTGTAGGTCAGGTTTTCACCAGCAGAAAGAGCACTGAGTTTTCACACAGGGCACGAGTAAATGCCTTTTTGTCAAGGAAGAGTGAAGTCTGTGTGGTCACTCAGTCCAAAACAAATGGCTTAAGTCATACAGGAATTTTCTTATCTACCCAAATTCCTTGGCTGCTTCTCCATTTCTGGCATTAGATTTTTTTTTGTTTTGTTTTGAGATTTATACATGCTTTTAGCCACTGTTAGACAGAAAGCCAGACTAAAGGCATCTTTACTTTGACCCCTCCTGTCCATTCTTGTGCAACAATACAGGAATTGACTGTTATTTGTGGCCGTTTTGCCCCCATGGTCTTAGGTCTAAGAAGCAAGAGAATGACTTGGAGGAAGCTGGGCTCTTCCTATTCTAAATAAATCATTTTGATCATGGGAGGGACAGGAACATTGAAGTCATTTTTGCGTGGCTACACATTCCAGAGATGGTAAATCTAAATAATTTGAAGTCCCAAATGCATTGTTAAAATCATAGAAAATCACTTGGTTGCAAAATATTTTCATAATATTCTTATATAAGTATGGATGTTTTTATACAATCCACATTTTTCAAGTGGGATTGTCACTTTGGTATTCTCATTAGTTTTCATTTTTTAGTATTTCAAAAGACATGGTTTTTTAATCTTCAGGAATGCGTAATTGTGGGTTATGAATCTGTGTTATCTCTCAACTTCTGTTTGCAGCTCGGTTCAGTTTAAACTGAGTTTTGCTGTATTATAAATCCAATAGAAAAGAAACCACTTCAGATGGACCCATGAGAACTGTTATACTGCTGACATTTAATGTTAATTTTATATATTGGTGTCCTACAGTCATGTTTCCATGAGACCTTCACACTCTCAGAAAATAACCTCAACTCTTTCTCATCCTGTCTGCTTTCAATTTGTCTGTCTTAAGAGAAGCCTTAAGTCTTCCAGACAGGCACATAGTGACAGGACAAGGGACAGTGGTGATTGTAAACTGCTAGAGGGCAGGGTTAGATTAGAGATTAGGAAGAAATTCTTCCCTGTCAGGGTGGTGAGGCACTGGCACAGGTTGCTCAGAGAAGCTGTGGCTGCCCCATCTCTGGAAGTGTCCATGACCAGACTGGATGGGGCTTGGAGCAACCAGTTCTAAAAACATGGCCAAGGAAATAGATTTTAGATTTGGTCTGGGTTTTCCAATGCATGTGCTGAAATTTTTATATTTCTTTTCTCTTTTATCTTTCTCTTGCTAGTCAGGAGGGTAATACCTAGGGAGATATCCTGGGTATTGAAGAAAGCCAGGGAAATTTAATGTTCTTTCCACTACATGCTTTGAGTAAAAATTGAAAGTCTCCTGTGTCTTCAGGTCTAAATGGCACTTTTCCATCCACTCCTGCTGCTCCCAGGATGTTTGTCTAGAGGGAATAGCTGTAATAGGCTAATTCAGAGCTGAATTCTCTTGAAGTCAGATGTAGGGAGAGCAAGTGCACACATTTAATGAATCTTTAAAAACTTCTTTGGATGTTTCTTGAAGCTGAATATAATCTTTCTGTGCTTTTACATCAAAGGTGAGATTTGTAATGTGATTTTTAATGTTTGATACCTAGGAGGAAAGTCAAGGAGCTGCACATGTTGGGACTGTGAGACCCCAAGTTATCTTTGTGAGAAGGAAATCTGAGGAGATGCAACAAGAAGGTAAATCAATGTCAATATGCAGAGTTCTCTCAGTTAAGCACATCACTTCTAAATATTGTTGTGTACTGACATAATAGTGCTGATTTTTAAAAATTTGGTTTTCATTACTACAGCATTTTCAGCCATTTCTGTATCCATAGTTCATACATGTGTACAAAGTTTGGGCTGTATGTGTAATAGTTATGTTATTGTTGGGGTGCACTGAAAGGATGGGAAATTCAGCCTGGAGAAGAGAAGGCTCCAGGGAGACCTTAGAGTCCCTTCCAGTGTTTAAATGAGATCAAGAAATCTGGAGAGGGACTTTGGACCAGGGATGGAGTGGCAAGACAATGGGCAGTGGCTTCACATTGACAGAGGGCAGGGTTAGATGGGATATTGGGAAGGAATTCTTCCCAGTGAGGGTGGTGAGCCCTGGCACAGGGTGCCCACAGAAGCTGTGGCTGCCCCTGGATCCCTGGAAGTGTCCAAGGCCAGGCTGGACGGGGCTTGGAGCAGCCTGGGACAGTGGAAGGTGTCCCTGCCATGGCAGGGGGTGGATCTGCATGAACTCTAAGGTCCCTTCCACCCCAAACCATTCTATGGTTCTATGAAAAGTATCTGTATGGAAGTCATGAGAATGTTGGCAATTAAGCATTTATTTAAATTTGGATTTGCCAAGAGCATTACAACGTGCATTTTCTGTAGTCAACTGAATCTTAATTGCTTTGTAGAGAGCTGTTCAGCAAACGAGATGTTCATAATGTTGTGATAAAGGGAGTGGCTCGTGCACTTGAGAGAACACAGGAGTGCTGCAGGAGAACTGGAAGATAATGTGAAGTTAAGATCATGCAAATGTGGGAATAAAAGAGATATTTTCAATGTTAAAATGACCTGGTGTGTAGCATATAATGATTTTTCTCTTCTGAAGGACACTAAGTATTATCTCTGCTATTTTTGGAGGTTGCTTAACAGTGTTTATAAAGGTTCAGGATGATGAAAGGGAGGGAGAGAATATCTTTTGTTTATTGTAGCTCAAGTCAGTGTTGGAATAGCATAAACTGTGCACATGACTGCCATGGGTAATTGTTTTAGCAGATAAGAAGTTTGTGGAGGTGCTACAGTGAGATGTGTAGCAGTTTTAATCTTACATTCTAAGAACAAGAATCTAAAAACCTGCCTGTCTACAATATATGCAATTATAATTGCTCCACCCTAGCACAGAGAAATTTTTCCTTCAAGCCCTTTTAAAAATAATTCTTTGAACTTCTTCCATTTAATTTTTTTAAAAACCTCTCATCGAATTCTGAGGGAATTATTCTGCTTCAAATATTTATAAGTGGTAAGAAAAGCCCCAGGCCAATGTTATTGGTCGTGGGACTTGGAACATAATTTCAAAACCGTGGTTTGCATATGAAGAAAGTTATGAATAATGTAAAACTTATCTGTGGATAATTAGTGGAAAAGCTTCCAGAGCTGAAGTGGCACAACTTAGTGCAGGTCTGTGTTTACCTATTTTTACCTCTGCATTTATCTGTACTGTAACACAAGGAATTTGGGTACGGTCCAACTGGGTCTGTCAACTGAAAACATGTGACCAGGAGATGGCAGTAGTCAATTTTCTTTGAAAGGAACAAAAAAAAAAAAGAAAAAAAAAGGATGATTTATATAGCGAGATAATTGAAATCTCATTCAAAGTATACATATTTAATAAGCCAATAAAAATCTCAAGGATTAGCAAATGGAAACAACTGTCTGTCACTTTTAACCAGAATGTTTTCTCTCTCTAAGCTTCACCACAGAGACCTTAATCAGGCCAAAAGTTGAGGGTAAAAATTAATAAGAAGCATTTGAAAGAAGAAGGAAAGCTTGCAACATGATAAGTGTACGTGGGTTTAAGTAAATACAACATTTTGAAATTAAGCACATCTGTTACTGTAAGTTCAAAGCACCTTGTTTATAGAACCTTCATGTCAGATGGTTGCCTTCCCTGGGATAGCCAGGGACAAGGAATGCTTCCCTGGAAATGGAGAAGCATTCTGGAGGCAGCACCATTTAGGTACTTTTTCAGAGTTTAAAGGGTATGTGGCTGGATTGGTATTAGAGTTTAGGAAATCCAAAGCCCTGAGATGAAGAATGAATTCACAGTGTTGGGAGAAAAGGAAAATTGTTTTGGACTTCAAGTTGGATGTTAAAAAGCCATTTTTATTTAATTGATAAGTACATGACAAGCTTTGATTCATCTTTTGGTGGCCATAAACATACACACACATTAGAGCTTTCTTTTGTTGTTTAAAAATGTCTGTGGTCTGCAGTGAACATGTGTTTTTACTGAAAGAAAGTTGATTGATGGCTTCTAATGAAAGTTGAAGTTCAGGACTGCTACAATATCATGCCTGAAAGGGTAAAGTCTCCTGAAAAATTACAACTGAAAATCAAGCCTGGATGTATTATTAATTGAAATGTGTGCCTTTTCTAGACACAGTGGAGACAGTGGTTTGAAAACATAGAGTTGTAGTACATAATATACATGCATATATATTTTTGGCTTTATAATACCCTTTAATCTTTGTACCATTCTTTCATATATCTTCATGAATTTAATAGGATAGTAATTGTTGTGGTTGGTGAATGCTCATATTTCCAGAATTTAGGCATTTTCAGGCTTGCATTAAAGGGATTCAGAATTTTTAAAATTAAAATGAAAGAACAGGTGGCAATGCTTGAGTGCAGAGCATTTTTAAACTTTAATATGAGCAGCTCAGAGGTAGATGTATCTTCACTTAATTATTTTCCTACAGCATAGACTCTCAAAATGTGACCTAGAGAGCACAACTTGATGATAGTAATTCCTTTTTATCTCCAGCTAGTGAATTATATTCAGGCAGTGTAAATACATGGGAAAGGAATATTGGGACACTAAGCAATTGGCTTTGTTGCCACAGAGAGATTACACAACTGCTTGTGGGAGGAGATGATCTGTGCAATAAATGAATAAGATGACAAGAAGCCCTTAAAACAATCTGTATAAAAACAAAAATTCCATAGTTCTTGTTCAGTATTGAAAATAGGCTGCTTCTGTGTTAACATTGACATTAGGTTGTATTGAAAGCTGTAATACTGAAAATATGGCTATAACTAAATACTTCTTTGTCTTTCTTCTTCAGCCAGGAATTGCTCTTGAGTTAGGTTTTGGGTTATTTTTTCTTAAAACTATTGTGGCATGAGGCAAATCTGTAACAGATGCTTCAAGGAAGGAAGAAGATTAGGATAAGGCTAAAGGTCTTTCTTTTTTTTCTTAGAACTGGAACTGTTTTGGTAAAACTCAAGACTATTCTACTGAAAGCTTACTCTTCCCTTAATATCCTGCTGTTTCTTTTTTTGGCCTGAATTTCACTGAAGGCTTTTGCCAAAGACTCTCCACACCACCCTGGATAGAGCAGCCAGTGAAGCAAAGCAGAGCTCTTCTTCCACACTGCAGGGAGAACCACCACGACCTGAGAGGCTGAAATATTTTGTGTAGCCTGTATTGCTCCTTGAGTTTGCCTAATTTCTGAGAGAAGATCTTGGAAATTGGAGGAATGAGCTGGAATTAAGTCATTTTTCAGGCAAATGTTTCATGTAAGTGTTTTTCAGTGCTTCTTCAGAATTCTCATTGCAGACTCACAGAATGGTGTGGGCTGTAAAGGACCTCAAAGATCATCCAGTTCCACCCCTGCCATGGGCAGGGATATTTCCACTATCCCAGGTTACTCTAAGCCCCATCCAGCCTGGCCTTGCACTCTTACAGGGATGATTCTGATCTATTTTTCCTCTGGTTTTCCTATCCAGTTACCTCTCTGTGCTATCAGGTGGCTCACTGACATCAGTCAGTTAATGTATTTTACATTTGGGCAAGTCAGGAAATGCAGGGCTGCATTTCCCACAGAAATTCTGTCTTTTCTGTAAGCAGTCACTAGCTTTTAGGTGCTCCAAGTTTAGTTTGCCAGTTTAGAATGCCAGTTCTCAAGGAGGTTTTTTTTTATTCTGCACGTGTCCATACGAGTTACACAATAGCCCATGCAGTAGAAAAAATGCATGTTAGTAATTAAGTATGCATTTTGAATAATATCCCACATAAAATCCTCAGTAGCCACACTTGAGAGTTACTACTGTGAATTCTTCTAAGTAAATGTTTAGCTGTGTTATAGTACATTTGTAACAGAAGCTTTTAATTTCTTGGCTTTTGTAAATATTATTTATCTCTTAAACAAGTGTCATTTATATGTGTGGCTGCTTCTTTTCCCACTGAGTTACTTCAGTTGTTTTTCAGACACAATGTTAAACCAGAAGTTGGATTTTTCATAGCTTAAGGCAAAGTCTTGTGTGAATTTGTCACTGTGGATGATGCTGTCCTGCTGTGGGTGTGTTCTGCTGCTTCAGGTTTGAGTCATGAAGAACCAAACAGCAGCAATTGCTGTGGTTTTCATGGGACTGTGCACATCTTTGTAGCCATTCCCAAAAGATTTCTTCCTGGGAATTGGTCCTCTGATCTCATACAGCTGTCATTCTTTCCCCTCACTTACTTGTCCTAAAGGTGTGAAGAACAGTAACTACAAGCACGTGAAGCACAACTCTGGTTTGTTTTTTGGATTCCTAGAATGCAGTTTGATTTTTTGAAATACAAGTGGTCAAATGGAGAAATTTGAAAAAACCAAGACAACAGAGTTTATACTTGAAGAAAACTGTACCAAGCAGTGTCATGTTGCCCTGCAGTCTGAGGGTTTCCTGCTGAGTTCTGTGCTCAGGGAGAAGGGATTCTCTAGAGGACAGTTCCACACCAATCCTTTCCCTACAGATCACTTGGCAATTTCCTTCAACTTCTAACAAGCTGTCAGTTCATTCTTCTCTTCCTGCAGCCCTCCTTAAGTGTCACAGCTCTGTCTGCTGCAGTGACATTGCTGTGACCTTGTGCTGAGGCTTTTGCCACGTGCAAAGGCAGAAAATTTCCCATTTTAGCCTCCCCTTGGTGCCTGTGCTGCTCACGAAATCTGCACAGCTTTCTGCATCCTCACACCTCCCTCGTCCAGCCCTCTGGGGAATCCTGGGGTGTGTGTTTGGGTAAGCTCTGGAGGGAACTATTTTGCACTTTTCATACAGTAAAAGGAATAAAGCCTCCCTTTTGAGAAGATCTTCCTGTTTAAATACATTTATTTTGCTAAATTTCAGGGTGTGTCTCTATATCAAGCCCCTCCTCTGGTCTGAACACAGCATCAGGGATTTTCAGTGAAATTCCAGCACCAGATGGGTTTTTTTGTGCAGAAAGGGAAGGAGAAACTTCTGCAAAGTGATGTGATCACTACTGAAAGCATTACTTCCTATGGAGACTGTCAAATATTTAGATTTTTGTTTGTCTTTATTCAGATTTTCTGGGGCTCAAAAGTAAAGATTCCAAAATCTCATCTGAGTCCCTCTTTAAAGCCTAGATTTTAAAGGATTCCAGGTGATGTAATCCAGGGACCTGTGGCATCCCTCTAAGTGTGTTTTATAGATCAAAATTTAAACTTCAGGGAAATGCCAAAATACAGCCTGGTATTTCAGTCATATATGGGGGCTGCAGTGTGAAAATATTGAGGGACCAGTCCCCTTTTCGTGCAGATAAGCTGAAAATCTGTGGCACTGCTGCACAAAGCACACAATGTACATTTGGAATTTGTCCTTTTTCATCGAATCATGGAATCACAGACAAGTCTGGGTTGGAGGGGACCTTTAAAGCTCATCCATTTCCACCCCTTGCCAAGGACAGGGTCACCCTCCACTGTCCCAGGTTGCTCCAAGCCCTGTCCAACCTGGCCTGGAACACTTCCAGGGATGGGGCAGCCACAGTTTCTCTGGGCACCCTGTGCCAGGGCCTGCCCACCCTTATAATAAAAGAGTTTCATCCTAATATCTAACTTAAATCTACCCTCCTTCAGCTTAAGGCCATTCCCCCTTTTCCTATCACTTTATACCCTTTCTACTTCAAAATATCATGTGGTGCCTAGTCCAGGGGCCTGCTGAGCTGCCCACATCACATCACCCAGACACCAGAAGGCTCAGAGGATCTTCTCTTCTGAAGTATATCATTAAAATGTAACGAAATTTACATCCAAATTAATTGGAATTTATTTTTTAAGAAATTATTCATAATTGCATTTACTTTTCAAACACCTGTGACAACCTGGACCCAAAGCAGTGCAGTTCTGCTACTAGAATTCTCTGTTTTCCCTTTTTTTCCATCCTTTTTGCCAGTTAGGGTTGGGTTTTTTACAATTGTTTAATTGTTAGGGGTTTTTGATATTTTGTTTCATCTCAGGGGTTTTGGTAGCTTGTGTCTTTAGTGGCCAGGCATATCCTAGGCAGAATTCTCCTTAAAGAAAAGGTATCTCTTGCTGCTGCATATCCACTCTTAGGAGTTGGAATGTACTAGCTGAGAGCTCTAAATTGCTATTTCCACTTTGGCAGCCTACCTTTGATCTCTCCTCAGTTCCAGTTTTAGTTGTATAAATCCATCTATTGTCAGCCTGTCTGGGGGTCAAGCTCCAATGTGAAGCTTTTTCTTTTGTCAAAGGTTCTCATGTGGTGGTGAATCAGCTGGAGTTGCTGTGGATTGCAAACAGGGGATGGTCTTGATAACAACTATTAAATACAAATCTCTGATCTCCTGGACACTACCACACTCCTCCCCAGTCTGTGGAAATTGTTGTGCCAGGACAGCTTTTCTCACAGCCTGTCTAGGATTCGTAAACATGCTGGGATCTGACTGAAGCAGCTTTGTGTTGAGGATTATGATTTGTATGCACTTTTACAAACTTACAGTAATTGCTGCTGCCTTCATTGTAAAGAGCAAAAAATAAACACACACAATAAACCCCTTTAATGGGCACTGATCCCACTGGCACTGATCTTGAGCAACTCTGAATAAAAGCAGATGGTGGCAAGCTGACTAGGCTGACCTGCTTTCCCCTTTCATGCAAACATTGCTTATATAAATGGGGGACACACACAAAAAATTAATGGGCTTGAGCAAGCCACCTAAGGACAGAGACTCCCCATGTACTTAATGCTTACATCAGCCCCAGGGCTGTTTCCAGTTAGTTCTTCTCTGGAGGGAGAAGTTTCTCACAAATTAGTGGTTCCACAGCTCTGAGCCCATGGTTTAACAAGAAAGAACTGATGTGCAACTAGAAAGTAAGCATGCTTAGCTGTTCTGTGGCCTGTGTGTTGTGGTGGGTTGTGGAAAAGAATCAGGAGTCTCTCCTGAACCTGTTGCTCATTTGTAAACATAAAATTGAGTCAAGTCCCTTTGCACATCATCTGCTGTCATAACATTGTGAAGAGGCATTCGATTTTTGTGGTCTTGCACTAGTTTAATTCACATGCCTGTTTGTTAGCAGTGATGGTGAAAGAATGTAAATTGGGATTCCTGGTTGTTCTAAAGGATATGCCTCAGTGTGTCACTGCAACAAGATGTGACCAGAGGGCTGGAGCACCTCTGCTATGGAGACAGACTGGCAGAGCTGGGATTATTCAGCCTGGAGCAGAGAGGACTCCAGGGGCACCTCACTGTGGCCTTCCAGCACCTTAAAGGGGTCATAAAAAGGAGGAAGATGGAATTTTTTATGCAGGTGGAGAGTGACAAGACGAGGGGCAATGGTTTAAAACTGAAAAGAGTCAGGTTTCGATTAGATGTGAAGAAGAAATTTTTTGCTGTGAGGGTGGAGAGGCCCTGGGACAGGTTGCCCAGAGAAGCTGTGGCTGTTCCATCCCTGGCAGTGTTCCAGGCCAGGTATTGGACAGGGCTTGGGATAGTGGAAGGAGTCCCTGCCCATGGCAGGGTTTTGGAACTGGAAGAGCTTT